GCCAGTGCTTGAGCCCAGCCTCTCCAGTGAAAGCTCTAGAGTTCTGTGTTCAAAAGGAACGTGCTGGACTGGTAAAACTGAATTAAACTTTGATCTACTTTGGTGAAGCTTCACTGCACAGCACAGGGGAGGGTTACTCTTTAGTACTTTGCAGTCCACTGCTTAATACTTATAGACCCAGGTTTCATGCTGGCTTAAAAGGTGATGGAACTTGGTGTCTCCATCATGGGCAGTTTGTTGCTACCACAGCATTCTCCAGGTTGTGATGTGGCAGATCCCAGTTGAGGTTTGTATGTGAGAGCTGCCATATCAGCTCCTTGTCTCCCATAGCAGAACTGTGGTTGGGGTTTTTTTGTGGCTCATCTGCTATTTAAGTATCTTTAACATCTCAAGGTGCAAGTGGCTTGCTCCTTTAGGCACTAGGAGTGCTTAGAGAAAAGGAAGGCCTTGGATAGCATCCTCTGTTTTAGCAAAGGATGACTGGCATTATGACATTATCTAGGGCTGACAACCATGACCAAATAATTTGATTACAATCTCTGCTGGCTCCGTTTCTGCTCTTTTTCCAGTATATTGAACAAATTATCAAGCGTGTCCAGAAATGAGGGATGCCAGGCAGGCTGCAGTGCAGGGAGTCACTGGATTTCTTGGATACTTTGTGTTTCAGGTTGCAAGTGGACAGAGTGTGGCACAGGCCCTGCCTTTGAGCCACAGCACGTCAGTCACCTGGTGACTTGGCAGGACGGCCGCTGCAGTCCCACCTTCCTCTCTTCTCTTCCTCTGCCACAGTCACATGTGAGCTTGGCTACAGGATTTGGATGTGCCACAGTCTACTGGTATTTAAAGAAGAGGTACATTGCTTCTCAAAAGGGCTTCTGTGTCAGGCAGTTTCTCATCTTGAATTTATGTGGCAGTTCCTATTCCTGTAGCATGTTAATGCTGCTGCAGGCTGAGGGGCTGTGTTTCTCTGTAATCATAACCTTAATTAAGTTGTCAAACAATATTTAAAATGGCAGTATTTAATATAAACTATATGCAACTGAGCACACAAGAGTCTCTGACCTCATAAAATTACTACAGATTTCTAACAAAAAGAAGAGCTTCTGACCATAGAGTAACAGAAGCTCTAAAGTATAAAGTATCACAGAATAATTGTAGTCCATTGTACTGGTCAGAGGAGCTCTGCTAATGCAGTTTGAACACTGTCATTTTGCCTTGTGCTGTTTATGAAAATACCAACATGCCTAAAGCAGTCACAGAGTGCTTGTTCTGGTTGCTGCCAGATGCTAAATCAAAAAGGCTCTAAATTAATTTCAGTTCCTTCCTTCCTCGGACGCTGAGATCTTCACGAGGTGTTATGAGTGCTCTGCTTTGTTGTGGCATGTTTGCAGAGGATATAATTTTTCACCTATGACTTGGCATCAGCAAGGTTTGCTCTTAGTTTCATCTTTCTCAAAGAACCAGAGTCTTCCTCTGCAGTGAGCTCAGGTTCAGTAAAGGGGAAAAAACTTACTAGATCTTGGTTTCTTCCATTATGTGTCCAGCAAATATGTGGAATGGGGTCTGCTCCTACTTTAGAGCTACATTGTTTCACCATTTGATACATTTCCATTCATATAATTTGTGGATCTCTGCCCAGCTGTGGGAGTTTACCTATTTTTCTCAAGCTCAAGTGCCACTTTTTTCATGCAAACACTTACTACTTTCCTGGTGACTTTTGCAATGCTGTGCTTTTGAACCAAGACAATTAATTCCTTAAAGCTGCTGTCTCTCCATCTTCCATCAGGAGATAAGTATTGCTGCAGCTTGGAAAACAAATTCCATTTAAAAAAACAAACCAAAACAACAAAATGCAGGTTGATCACTGAGGTGGCAGTTTAATTTTTAGATGAGACCACACATGTCAAGTTCTCTGTAGCAATGGAAGTTGTCTTGCTCCCACTGCCTTATAGCAAAATATCCTTACTGGTCTTGTTTTTAAAATGTTTTGTTTAAAAGTCCAGATTTTCTGAAGGCTTATGATGCAGCTGGCACTATCCAGGACTACGTGGTTGCCATGTTGTGTGACCTGAAGAAGCCACTCATGTCTGTCCAGAATGCTGCCAGCTGGGGATATTTTAATTCCAGAAGCAAAAGCTGGAATACTGACATGTAAGTGCTAAGGTAATTCAGTGGGGCTTGTGCACTGCACCTCTTTGGGCCCTGAGTATCAATGTGCTACAGATAAAAAGGGGTCAAAAGTTACTCCTAATCAGTTGTGATCTGTACTGCTGAACTCCTGACTATTGAGAGTTTGCTCTGGTTTGTGAAGTGTATCTGTTTAAATCTTGTAAAATCTGGTACAGTATTTTTAGAAATACCTACCAAGAGCAGAGCTGAGAGACTCATCAGTGAGTGCTTGTATAGCAAACTGTTCTCTCCTTTTCCATGGTGGGATGGGATGGATGGGAAAGGACAAGTGCATGTTGCAGCCACAGTGTTCCCTCTGTCGTGGCAAAGGCAGTTATCACACTCTCAGTTCTTTCAACTGAGCTCCTTCATAACTACTAAGATTTACTTGTGATAATGTAGTTGTTAAGCTACAGGAAATCTTATAGGGAATCAGTTTATTTATTTACTTATTTATTTTAATGATTTACTCTTTCAGGACTGAGTGCTAAGGCCTTATATATTCAGGGCTTAGGTTAGGCCAGGACTCCAAGGTGAAAGATCTTCTCATCAAGGTATGAAAGAGTGACAGAAACTTGCATTTTGCCAACTGAACTTTTACTAATGTGGAGCTGTTGCTGTAGCACTGTACTGTTATCTTGCAGCTGATTGCATAAGGAGTTTGTTGGATTTAACTCTTTGTGATTTGGTTTTGAACCACTAATTGCATGACATCTTAAGTTCTTTGACACTTAGCTGCATTTTTTGCTGTTTTTTGATTGTCCCTTTACCCTGGAACTGCTTGTCCATGTGACATCAGGAGGTTAAACTGGCTGAACACGTGCTGTATGATCTCAGGTACTCAGATTGCATATAAAGGAAAACTATTTATTCTTCTAGACTATTCTAGTTTACCCAGCCCATAGACTGCAATGCTGCCCCTGTCCAAGACAGAGCTTTCTAAATAGGTGAAAGCCTCCATAAACCCAGCAGCCACAAATATATGGACAGGTTCATCTGTGACTTCAAAGAGGTCTTTGTAGTCATGCCACAGTTCCCATACTGCTTCCCTCCAATAATGTTGTTCTGTTTACAGATTGAAAAAATCCGGCTTTCCTGTTCACTTGCTTCCAGAGGTGGGAGACTCTGGAAGCATTGCAGGCAGGACAACCCGTGCATGGCATGGAATACCCAAAGGAGTAAAAGTAGGAGTTGCTCTGGGAGATCTCCAGTGCTCTGTTTATTCCTGTCTGACTGAGAGGACTGATGCAGGTATGATCATTTTAGTATCTGATTTGGTTTACTCGTTGTCCTCCTTCAGGGTGGCTTAGTAAAACACTGACTTTTTTTTCCCTTTTTTTAATTCCTTTTGTGTTCTAGTTCTTAATTTCAGTACCTCTGCTCAGCTGACCATCTCAATGCCCCCTGGTTTCCAGCCTCCAGAGACACCAGATCCTTCCTCAGCTGTTACTTATTTTCCCTACTTCAACGGGGACTACTTGGCAGTGGCAGCATCGCTCAACGGAGGCAACGTGCTGGCAACATTTGTGGGCATGGTGGCACAGTGGACAGAGGAGCTGGGTAAGTCATGTCAAGGAGAGTTGAAGCTTAAAATTGAGGTTGATCATCAAGGTAAAGGGAAGCTGAGGCAAAGGAACAAGCCTAGAGCTGTTCTGTCGGGCCATACAGGGAACGAGGATGTAACTCCTGGGCCAGGCTTCCTAGATCTCTGGAATTTCCTGCTTATGAACATGCTGGGACAGTCATGCTTGGACTCCACATTCACATTGCCTCTAGGTTTTCTTTGGTTTCAAGGACAGAAGAGAATTATTTTGTGCAAGTTGATTTTCACAAGGAAAAGCTGGCAGATTTGAGGAGAACAGCCTCTAATTTTGTGTGACTGCAGTCCAGAGGAGTCCCTTGGTTGGATCAGTTGCCTTTTGCAGAACTCTAACGGATTTTAAGACTCAAACTCGTGTAATGTCTTCTAAGTGCTTTAAGCTTGGTCTTCACAGGTTTTTTAATAATCTCTTGGGTTTTGCAATACAAAAGTGAGCTCTGAAGTTGTTCTTTCAGCGAGTACTTGAGGTGAGCTTCGCATTCACATGGAATCCAGCCACTGAAGCTGCTCTCTGCCATTAGTGCCTGATGTTGTTTCGTGTAACTTAGCACAGGACAGGTAATGAGGAATGTACTGTCAGGAAAGGCAGTTTCAGAGAAGGTTTCTAGTGTCACATATCCTGGATACAATTGAGTGGGAGAACTATGGTTCATAATCCTGGAAAAAACAGTCACCCTTGGGACATGAAAAAAGATATCCGGTATTTTGCTGAACAGATGGATAAGTGTCCATTGTAAGAGATTAGTAACCTGGTATTTCCCATCCGCAGGACTTCAGGTCCAGGAGTCTGCCATCTATACAAGGATAATCCAAGCAGCCTTGGCCCAAAACCACAGCAAACTCTCAGTCCACCCAGCCATATTTGGAGAGAGGCACATTCCTGAGCAGTTGGGATCAGTGACCAACATTGCTGCCTCTGAGCTGTCCCTGGGCCACGTCACCAGAGCTCTGTGCCGTGGGATTGTCCAAAACCTCTGCTCCATGTTACCTGTGCAGCGCCTGACGGACGTGGGCGTGAGGAGGATCCTGGGCAGTGGGAGTGCCCTGGCCAGGAATGAGGTGCTGAGGCAGGAAGTGGAAAGGATTTTTCCATTCCCTGTGGTTTACGGGAAAGATGTTGATGCTGCTATGGGGGCTGCCATGGTGATGTTCCATGGGAAATAAAGTGGTTATTTGGAATGGCCTGAGATGGAAGCTTCTGTTTTCTTCCTGACTCTACAGTGTTTCTTTTCACTTTATTCCACATGCAATCTCACTCATTACAGAGGGAAAAAACCCCAGCATTTAATGTCCACTTCTGGGTCTGCACATTTTGGTGCTCTGTCATTCCCATTTGTGAAATGAGCAGTAATTACCACATTACATTTGTCTGAGTGACTGGGAGAGATCCATTAACTTCCTGCATAAAATGATACTTCACACAAGGCTCATTTTCCTGGTAGGAATATGTTTGGAAGGACTAGGAGAGAAGAGCAGCTGTAACTTGGTCTGATGCTTTCATTAGAGACTTCTTGTCCTTAAGCTGTCTCACAACATTCAGACAGGCAGCAGACCAGGGTGTCAGCCTTGTTTGGGGGGGTTTGGTGGCTCCTGCACGGAACAAATCCCAGTCTTCATGGATTGCATGTTGTCTCTGTAAAAGATGGAATGATACCTTGGCTTGAACATCGACAAAGTAGTGAAAATAAAACATGGAGGGTTGTTTCTATTCTATTTTTTTCTACTCTGTTTGGGTGCAGTGGACTAAGGTCAAAGGCATGACTAGGTTGGTACCATGACTGGAGATGCCTGGAGTGCAGGGGTTATAGCCAAGTGGAAAATGCATTTATAGGGTGAGAAGTAATTCTTTTCTTTATTTGACATACATAATTATGTTTGAGTTTTGGATCAGGGCCTCTCTGAAACAGTCAGAATTGTGATAAACTGGAGGAGCTATGTTACTATGTTTGATCTGAAGGTGTTTCTGGTTCTGCCCTTCCTGTATTGTGTCAAATTAAGCATTAATCAATTAGCTAGACTAATCTGTTTTTAATGTTGGGTATTGCTCATGTGCATTCCCTTAAAATTTCCATGGTTTTGTCCCCTGTATTGTGCTCTTAGACTTTATTTCTTCCCTTACTCTTTATTTTAATGTGAAAACATTTTCTAGTTTCAGACTAAACCAAGATACATGTACACTTCTTTTGCTCAAATGACCTGGGGAGGCAAGGAAGGTGTTTCATGTTATCTAGATACAGTTCCTTTACTAGGCAGCAAGTGCTTCCACTGAAATATGGACATGGATTCCTATCTTGCTCATTAGCAACATCAGGACTGACATTTTTATAGTGAAAAAGCTGTGCTGAGTTCTGAGATCTTAACTACAGAGATGCTGAATTTCCAACTCCCTCCACCCTCTCTCCATGCATCTGTTCCATGTCGTGTTTAGGGAACTGTTGGCATATGAAGGAATTACAGAGAAAGTGTAGACTAGATTAAAGAAAAGCCTTAACTTGTTATATGTTGTTTTCTCTCTTACATTAGTATAAATTATTTTTGCATCAGAATATCTGCTTTCATTTTTATTGAATAACTGGAAAGAGCTGATAATACTGTTCCAGTGCCCTGTTACCCGTGAGGTCAAGTGGCATTTGCTTCCAGGAGCTGGTAAATCATGGCCTGGTTTGAGGTTCTATTGGCAAAGGCAAGGCTGTCTCTGAGCTGCAGGCCAGCCCTGGATACATCTTTAGGATCTCTGGCACATCTGTTGATGGTTTTCCATTTGCAGTGATGGAGAGGGCTCTTAGTGGGTAAAATCCCTCTCAAGCACAGAAGTTGCACAAAGCCTTTGCAGCATGTTGGAGGCAGGCCCAAGGAAAAGGAATAAATTCCTTTTTGCTTATTACTGGCTTGTTTTGACAAGCATTCACATCTCCTAAAAACAAGATCCCTGCTGAGATGGAATATGATATGTCCAACAACTATTGCAAAAAGCAATGGAGAAGGAGATAACATCTTCCCAGGAAACACAAGCCAAGGAGCTGCTAAAGGAGGCATCAGGAAGCAGCAGAAAGCTCCCAAAGTACATCCATCGAAGCACAGTGAGACTGAAAGGAGCTGATGCCTGAATGGGAGAAGAGGGAGAAGGAACATTTAGCAAAAGGCAGCAGCAAGAAGCCAGAGACTGAATAAGGGAGTTCCTCCACTGCTCCATGGAGTTTTCCTACTGAGTCCCTGCTTTGGAAATGGGGAAAGAGTTAATTGTGATGTTGAGTGAGAGGATTGCTCAGCAAAGCTCCAGGAGCAGCAGCTGAGGACCTGCCTGGTTGGTAATCTGTACTTATGCATTAATAAATAGGCTTGTTACTCCATTTGATACAATGCCATAGGGTGTTCTAAGGAGCATAATTAGTTTGCTATTAAATAGGAAAATGTATAATTCTTTTATACATCTATGGATAGATGGATGGCAAGACTAGAAAGACAGCTGCCTTTTGCAAAACGTAGCACAGATAATTTCATTAAATAATTTCATAATCTACTCAAAACCTCAGGAGGTTTGGGGGTTGCTCCCAGCCTGTCAGCCCAGCCTCTGGAAAAACTCTTTCTCTAGACTAGTTTTTGTCAGAAAGATTGTATGTAAATTATATATTTAACAATATTTGACACAGTTCTTTATTTTTAAGGATGTTAGATCCATCCTGGATTAGATATTTTTCCTAATTACATTAATATTTAGAAGCTGACTGTTACCTATATAATTGAAATAAAACCTAGTAGGGATGTGGAACAATGGAAAGGCTTTAGGACTTTCTGTCATTGGTTCTTGCTCAGCTCTGTTCTGAATCAGCTTGTCTTTAAAATAATTATCTCTAAATTAGCCACTCAAGAAAGATGTCCTGAAAGATGACTGTGGCACATTTTACAAAGTTTTGTAAATTGAAATGAAACTGTGACCCACAGAAACAATTGTCATCTGGTGGTTTGGGTGGTTTTTTGCAAAGTTGAGTGTATTTACGAGGAGGAAATCTGGAGAAGAATATCCATTACTAAATGCAATTAAAGGGGAGGAAAAAACAACAGCAACTCACTGCAATTCTTGTAAAGAGCTCTGCTAAACCTCTGGGAATAGAAGCCACTGATGCTTCTGGTTCCAGAATTGTTCTTAATTATCTTATTGCTCTGTTCTCTGTTCTTCTAGTGAACTTCCCTTGATTCTAAAAATCAGCACATACCACACTTTTGCAGACAAATGAAGTGGAGAAGCAAACTCTGAGGGCTTTTCAGTCCAGGCACCCTGGAGGAGGAATATCTGGCACCAGATTCCTGTAGATCAGTGGGTGCTTACTGAGACTGGACTATTTTTTGGAAGACGGGATTTTTGTCAGTATTTGTAAGTTCTGCATGTATATTTGCTGTTAGTTCTTTTTAAACTCTCTTTATTATTTGTTATAAGTTGTGATGTGGCAGGGCATTCTATCGGAAATATTTCCTTATTTATTGTGTTAAATTTCAATGTATAAGGGTTTCAGAGAGTTCAAGTAGTTTATGTGTTTAGTAGAATAGATAATATTTTTTTAAAGAATCCTTCAACAGAATTGTGAAGCTTATTCCCTTGCAAATTCATACTCATGAGGAAATGCAGCTTTGTCTTCCTTATCAAATATATTTTCAACAGGGTTTAGAAAGGAAAGCACATATAATGACTAGAGTAGGTTTGAGCAATTGCCAGGGAGACAGGATTGAGCCTTTTCTGCACATTTTAACATTACATTTATTCCGTGGGAAATAAGGAATTGTGTTTTCCATGGCCATCTCGCTGATGTTTTTGGCTCAATCCACATTAATTTAAATAAGACAAAAAATTAAAATTATACATGACTGTATTCCCACTGTATATTTTTCTATTTTTTTATAGAACTGGTTTTATTCCTTTTCTACTGAAATAGTTGTTCTACTGTAATTTTAGTATCCTATTCCAAATGGAAATATTTTGATTTCTTATTTATAGAACAATTAAGTTAATAAGTTATTATGTTATTCTTTCTGAGTGATTCTAAAGACACAAAGAACTTGAAAGGTGAGTGAGTTAAATTGCAGTTATTAGTATTTTGTCCATTTGATGCTGGTTTGCTTCCAGTAACGCTAAATGTGCAAGTTTGGAATTGGTGTTTTCTTTACATGGAAAATACAAATGCCTGACCAAAGTTTCTTTCCTGTCTTGCTTGCACAGGAAAAGGTAAGTGCCCCTTAATGTAAATATGAAGTATTCCCATAGAACTGAAAATCCAGCTTTAATGTACAATGTGGGTTTGCAGACAACCCTCAGAATATTCTTGTAAAGAGAAACGACCTTGAAGCGTGTTTATGATGTTGTTTTCACACTGAATTTACACAGACTACTGACCACTGTAATGTGGTTTATAATGTAAGGCTTTTCAAAGATTTTGTGACATTCCTGTGCTCAAAGCTGTAGGATTTCCAAGCAATGTAGGATTTCAGAGAATGTTTCTAAGCCAGCAGTAGAGCAGTTCGAGTATGATGTATTCCTGTCTCCACTGCTGGAGTTCTAGAACATTTTGAATTCAATGTCATGAAGATAGCATTTGTCTGATTAAAACAGTTTGATAAGAAACCAAAAAAAAAAAAGGCATCCTGCTCTACTTTCAGTGGAGTATCTTATCTGTGAGGGTGGGGAGGCCCTGGCACAGGTTCCCCAGAGAACCCCATCCCTGGAGGTGTTCAAGGCCACGTTGGACAGGGCTTGGAGCAACCTGGGCTAGTGGAAGGTGTCCCTGCCCATGGCAGAGGGGTTGGAATGAGATGATCTTTAAGGTCCCTTCCCACCCAGCCCATTCTGTGGTTCTGTCTTTGTTAACTTGTGTCAAGTTCTTTGTGGTTGTAAATCAGACAGGATCAGACGTGTGGTCTTACAGGCACCTCTTATCTGGGGTAACCTTTCCCTTTCTGTTTCTGTGTCTCATGTTTGAGGTGACACTCCTCTCTTGAGAATCACAAGCTCCAGTTTTCATCAAGCACTGCTATAATTCTGGCAAAGCCATTAAGTGATAGTTTTCCTGTGTGCAGGAAGCCCTCTGTGCTCAGCATCCCAGACATACTGTGATGGCACAAACAGGCTGTTTTCACATGCCTGATATGATCATGAGAATAAATTGTGGCACAAACCAGTTAGAAAGTAGAGAAAAAAAGTAGAGATTGTTGAGGCTTGAGATTGTTTGGGCTTTACCAGTGACTGGAGGAGGATGAAGCCCTAGTTTTAAGTAGGAGTCAGCTCTGCAGTGGGATGGCTGGCAAGCTCTGGGATGCTCTGGCTTGCTTTGTCCATTCTGGAATGGGTAAGGGCAGTGGGGACAGGAACAACGTGGAGGTAATGACCTACTAAACTGTTCCAACTCTGTGCACAGTGAATCTGTGTCCATCTGCCTCATTTCTGGGATGAGAGCAACCAATCCACTCCCTGCTGTTCATGGAGAGTGGTCTGAGGCAAAAGGGGACTCGTGGCCCTGTAAAATGCTGACTTGAGGTGTTTGTGTCCTTCCTCACAGACTGCCTGCTCATCATGTCTTCAATTCTTGGGAAGATGAAGAAATTTGGCAGTTTTGACATGGAGGAATCTGAAGTGGCAGATGAACACACGGAAGGGGAGGAGTCTGTCCTGGAAACATCTGACAGCTCCCAGGGCCCACCCAGCACCAGGGCACAGCCACCCAAAAGCAACATCTTTGCAAGGCGTGGGCGGTTTGTGATGGGGGATAGTGACAAGGACATGGCTCCCATGGACTCCTTTTACCAGATGGATCACCTGATGGCACCTTCTGTCATCAAATTTAATGTCAATTTGGAGAGGGGGAAACTTCACAAGTAAGTTTGCCCCTTCACAAGATGTGATTGTAAGGAATAGTTTGACAACTGCAGACCATGGCTCTTAGAGTACCATTTGTTCTCTCCACATGAGCATGACTGATTTTTTCAGTTTCACTATTTTCTCTGCCAAAATAAGGAGTGTTGCAACTGAAAGGGACAATGGCTGTTTTGGCATCTCTGAAAATTCAGAGAATCCGTGGATATTTTGCCCAAAATTAGCAGTAGGCCTTAATTGACTGTTCAGTGAATGGCCATCACTCAGAAGAGAACAAGGGATTGCCTGGCTCCAGGGCTGCAGTTTCACTGCCATACTTGAGTGCCTCTTCTGAGTCTTGTTGTCAGTTTTGCAGCAAGTGATACACAACTTTATCAGAACAGTTGCTTGCAGGCTTTGTTGATCTTCTAGTCTTTGCAGATCTGTCTGTTCTAACCTGTACTTACTACTTCACACAAGCAGATGAAAAATAGTATTCTGTTAGTTTTATAAAAAGTCTGTTAAACCTCTAACTTTTAGAGTTTGACTTTTAGTAACTGAAATTTACCCTTGTTAGGCTCCTGTCTGCAGATTCCATCACAGGCTGCTCAGAAAAAGCTTTCAAGTTTTATGATCGCAGAAGGATCTTTGATGCTGTAGCCCGAGGCAACACAAAGGACCTGAGTGACCTGCTACTCTACCTTAATAGAACCTTCAAGCATCTCACAGATGAGGAGTTCAAAGGTACCCTTTAGTGGCACATGCCTTCAGTTGCCCTCTTCTTCCTCCAGTAGCGCTCCTGAGATGAAAACAAAAAAAGGATAATTATGTTATATGTCTGCAGGAGGTCCTTTAATAGCCACTACTGCCCTATTGATTGGGCAACCCATTGATTGTAAGGTTACAGGAGCTGAAATTTTTTGTGAAAAGCCTAAATGAGTTTCCTTGTCTTTTGAAAAGCACCTCATTAATTCCTCCTTGCCTGGGTACAGATGGTGGGTCTGTAATAACTTCAATACATCTTCAATCTTTTGTGTTATAGAGCCCGAAACTGGGAAAACCTGTTTACTGAAAGCCATGCTGAATCTGCATGATGGGAAAAATGATACCATTCCCTTGCTGCTGGATATTGCAAGGAAAACTGGAACTCTGAAAGAGTTTGTTAATGCAGAATATACTGACAACTACTACAAGGGTAAGAGAAATGGCTGCTACAGGGGAACCTCAGGGTGCTAAGACTGAGTCTTCTTCAAGAAACCTTATGCCTGAGGATGCAGCACCCCAAAGTTCCAGTGTGTGATTAACAATCTGTGCATTTGTGCTGGGAGTGTGTTCTGTGCAATATTCTGCCATTTTTGATATACAGTGATTAATAGCAAGTTCAAGGAATGTCCATTTGCTGTTTGTGGGGTTTTTTTTCTGTTCAGTTCTAGAGCTTTTTAGTCTGCAAAACTCTCAGTTCCACCATCTGACGTGGAGCTGAGTGAATTGCAGTGCTGAAAGCTCTCAGTGTGTGCTAAGTGCTGAAGATTTCTGTCTGATGGCTGTCTCTGTAGGCCAGACTGCTCTTCACATCGCCATCGAGAGAAGGAACATGTACCTGGTGAAGCTCTTGGTCCAGAATGGAGCAGATGTTCATGCACGAGCCTGTGGGGAGTTCTTCAGGAAAATCAAAGGGAAATCTGGCTTTTATTTTGGTAGGAGTGAGCTCAGTGTGGGCTTTATTGATTGAGTTATCCTAGCATCACCCCAAGTGCAAGCTGTTAAATAATCCTGTTTATGTGGGACTGGAGGCTCAGATGCCAGATGGGTTGTTCCACCATCAGGACAAATATTTACTCCTGAGCTTATAAACTGAGCTTATAAACAAACACAGTTGGTAGTTGATGGCGTTCAGTGTGAGCTTGGTGTTCTCTGAGCACTGTATCCTTTGAAAGGTTGTAACCTTCTACTCCTGTCCTGTCAGTGCTTTTTTTAAGCAGCTGTGTTTCTGTCATGCAGTTAAAACCAAAGAAAATCTGATTCTAACAGCTATCACAAGAATTGGTGCTGCGTCAGAGGAATCCACCTTTTCTTAGTGCAAGATGAAAACAACATGAACTTCATATTTTCTGACCACTCCTTTCCTTTGCTTCCTGTAGGGGAGCTGCCCTTGTCCCTGGCTGCCTGCACCAACCAGCTCTGCATTGTGAAATTCCTGCTGGAGAATCCCTACCAGGCAGCTGACATTGCTGCTGAGGACTCCATGGGCAACATGGTCCTGCACACCCTGGTGGAGATTGCAGATAACACTAAGGATAACACCAAGTTTGTAACCAAGATGTACAATAACATATTGATCCTTGGTGCCAAAATTAATCCAATCCTGAAGCTGGAAGAGCTCACCAACAAGAAAGGGCTGACTCCATTAACCCTGGCAGCCAAAACAGGGAAGATAGGGGTGGGTGAGAGAAGGTGTTTAACTGTCCTGTTATTGTATCAAGTTTTAGAGAGCACGTGTAAAACATTTATGCAAGGTGGGGTTTGTAACTTTATTGTTGGGGCCTTTTAGTTAATAGAAACTGAGGCTGCAGTTTAACATGCAAACCTGCAGAGCCCTTAAAGGCCATTAAATGTGTGTGTGTGTATGTGCCCAGCTGGTGTTATTCATACACCCCTGGCAGCCCAAGAGGAAACCACTGGAGCCCTTGTACTTTTGACTGCTGTTATAACTCATTTTCTGGAAGTCCACATTCAAAGTGACTGTGTGCTCAGAGAGGTGTAACACACACTTCTGCTTTTCTCTTGCAGTTTTGAAGCAGATAATGCCAAGCTGTAAGAGGTATTTATATTTCTCATCTCCCAGCATCCAGTAAGAAAATGAACCGTGTTTCCTTGAGAATGCAGTGCTCCAGTGGTTTGGCCTCAGCTCAGTTAAACTAGGGAGAAATTACCCATCCTTTCATGTGGAGATGCTGAGGGACAAGAAGTCCATTAGCACTGACATGTTGGTTGTATTGTTCTTTTGCAATTAGATTTTCGCTTACATCCTCAGACGAGAGATCAAAGATCCCGAGTGCAGACACCTGTCCAGGAAGTTCACTGAATGGGCATATGGACCTGTCCACTCCTCTCTTTATGACCTGTCCTGTATAGACACATGTGAGAAAAATTCAGTGCTGGAGATTCTTGCCTACAGCAGTGAGACACCAGTGAGTATTGCACCTCCTTTGCATTTTATTCCCAGGCTGGGGGACTGCTGGGGAAGAGCTTCATGTTCCCCACAGTGCACCTTTTGCCTCCTTTCCATGAAAGAGCAATCACCCCTCCTGAGTTTAAGGGAATGAGAGAGAACATTTGCTGAAGATGAATATAATTTGGTTTTCTTTCAAAGTCTGATACATACTGGTCCCAGCAAGACTCTCCCCTTTCTCCTTCTGCTCAGAACCGGCACGAGATGCTGCTGGTGGAGCCCCTTAACAGGCTCCTGCAGGACAAGTGGGACCGGTTTGTCAAACACTTGTTTTACTTCAACTTCTTTGTCTATACCTTGCACATCAGCATCCTCACTGCAGCTGCTTACTACAGACCTGTACAGAAGGACCAGAAGGTATGTCACTGTGGCATGTGTCAGGGGAGCCAGCCAGTGCATGACATCTTAGATCTGCCTCCCATTTGAATGTGTGCTCCTAACATCAGAAATGTCCTCTTTCCTGAAGGGTAGAGGGAGATTTTGACCCTGCTTGATTCCCAGTCTTGCTGCAGCACATTCAGAAACTTAACCTGTTGCCCCCCACTATGTAGTTGCTTTAGGCTGCTGGTAAGGCCAGGTTTTTCCTGTCTCCAGTTCTGCTGAACATCTTCCTGTCTTGTACAGCCTCCCTTCACCTTTGGTTACACCACTGGGGAGTATTTTCGAGTGACTGGAGAGATCCTGAGTGTTCTGGGAGGCCTCTATTTTTTTTTCAGAGGGGTAAGGTATTTGAAAATTTCCCTTTTGCTGTTTGGGTAGATGTAGGGGAGAGTCAAACAAACTTTTCCTATTCATTAGCATTGGCTGCTAAAATGATCCATGTTTTAGTCAAGAGTGACATATCTTTTTCCTAGGCCTGATTAGGAGTTCTCAGGTTACTAATGAGCTAAGATACAATTTTATCTATTTATAAAAAAAGGTTCTCCTTAGAAGGCAATGAGCATCTTGGCAATTAGCCTTGCCAAAGCTTAAGGGTGGGGTATTGCAAACAGCCAGCCCCCCACTAAAGGTTTCCTGGCTTAGCCTAAAGTCCCCCAGCTTCCCCTTGGCAGCCAATGGAAAGGGTGCAGTGAATCCCAGGTCCTCAAACAGTGACTGAATGGGTTGTTGTCTTCAAAAGAGACACCAGATGTGAGAGAATTCAAGTGTTGCTGAAGAGTCCTCCTGAGATATTGTGCCAGTGCTGTTTTCCAGCTGTTCTTGTGATTTTAATAGGTACCAGCTCCCTGGTACAGGGCTCAGGGCTCAGTTGATGCATTCACAGGTGATAGTTAATTCCTCCTTGATGCAAACCTGGTCTTGGTTCCCTTTTCTTTCCAGATACAATATTTCGTGCAGAGGCGCCCGTCGCTCAAGACGCTGATCATTGATGGCTACAGTGAGGTTCTTTTGTAAGCTCCAATATCTTTGGTTGCATCTCAGCCAGAAACAGATGAGTGTGGGAGATCTGTAGTTCTGGCTGAAGCCACCTGTAATAGGTAGATGCTTTGCTATAATTTCCTGGGTCTTTACAACAGAGTAGCCAGTGGATATCACTGAACAGATGGGTCTGGGGCAGTGACCTCCTTTGGAGGTAAGGCAAATTAAGTGTCTAGATGTTCAATGACTGTGTCATGCAGCAGAGTTAGGAATAGATCTCCAAGCTGGACTTGTACACTGGATGTGCAGAAATCCTCCCACTGCTAAAGGGAGCTTTGCCTCTGAACGTTTGGGTCCTTTCTCTTCCCAACTGGAGTGCACTAAACAAGGGGAACCCCTCATTCTGCTGTACACCCCATGGGGCTCCTCTGTTCCCACCACCTGTGACCAGCTCAGCCCTTTGCATTCAGACCATGCTTGTCTTTCAGCTTTGTTCACTCCTTACTCCTCCTGAGCTCTGTGGTGCTGTACTTCTGTGGCCAGGAACTCTACGTGGCTTCCATGGTGTTCTCCTTGGCACTGGGCTGGGCCAACATGCTCTACTACACCCGTGGCTTCCAGCAGATGGGCATTTACTCTGTCATGATTGCCAAGGTCAGTGCAGGGAGCAGGTGTGCCCAGAGTGGGACACTGCTGCCAACAGCATTCCAGAAGACACCTTGCCGTATCTGCCTCCATGATGCCACTGGGAAAGCTCATAACACTCTGCTAAACTTTGCTGTTGTCTTCTGAGTGAAGTGATAAAATTTAAGTGATGTAGAAAACCCCCCTGCTCCTCATCCATACATTTTAAAGCAGTCTTGATATGATGATGATGATTTTTATTGCCTGCCATGCTTCAAAATAACTATGATTGGACAAGCGTGGATGAAAGGAGACTGAGAACAGTGTGGACTGCTCTGGTGTGAAATGGCCCAGCTTTCCACCAGCTGGAAATTTCTTTAGGTATAGTTCAAATGTTACCGAACAGAGCAATTAGCTAAGAGGCTGGCTAATTAACTAGCTGGCTAATAAACCTCTCTGTATGGTGTAGACAGCCAGTCCAAGAGGGGAAGAAAGCTTCAACTGTCTTAATGTGGTTTATACTCGCAAAGAGGAAACTATTTGACAGGCATATGTGTTGCATATGTGTGTAAACTGCTGCATGAATAACAGAGAAAAATGTTTTCTGTATTAAAGTTTATCATCTCAGCAGGATAAACAACAGTTTAATGCATGAACAGCCAGTTCATGCAAATGCCTTCTTGAGCTGAAGCAGGTACCCATTTTTGGTGCAGTTTATATTCAAGTTTTAGCAATATAAAAATACTCTGTTTTCATGTTGCAGATGATCCTTAGAGATCTGTGTCGCTTCATGTTTGTCTATCTAGTGTTCCTCTTGGGATTTTCTACAGGTAATTTTCTAATTGGAGTTACTTTTTGTTACTTTAGAGAGTCTTGGAAAATGTTATTTTTCAAGTTGCTTAGACTTTTTGTTTCCAACTAAAAACTAAAAAATTAGCCTACTTACAAAAAATATCTCTTCAGAATAACAATTATCTGTAGTAGTTTCATACAGCTTTTCATCCCTGGGTCTCAAACTGCTTTCCAAAGCTGATGGAAAAACATTCAGTCGTCCTGTTCTGTGTAGAGAAAGCTGAGGCAACACCTTCTGAGAGGTGTCAGTCATAGGGAATATTTATAGGGCAATTTCCCTGGAGTCAATGTACCATGAGGATAACATGCTTTACCTTTGTACTCGTTTCATTGCTTGCAAAGGAATTATGATCCCAAATTGTATTTTCACCCTGCCTATGTGATTCTTCTCTTGCAACAGCTGTGGTGACTTTAATTGAGGATGACAATGAGGGGCAAGAGACAAATACCTCTGACTCTTCCCGCTGCTGCCACGTGAGACGAGTCCGCACGTCCTACAACAGCCTGTATTACACCTGCCTGGAGCTTTTCAAGTTCACTATTGGGATGGGGGACCTGGAGTTCACAGAGAACTACAGGTTCAAGTCTGTGTTTGTCATCCTCTTGGTTCTCTATGTCATCCTCACGTACATCCTCCTGCTCAACATGCTCATTGCGCTGATGGGGGAAACCGTGAACAAGATTGCACAGGAGAGCAAGAGCATCTGGAAACTCCAGGTGTGTTGGCTCTGGGAGGCTGCTATCCAAGAAGGAGGGTGTGGGGAATCATCAGAAATTTCAGAGAGAATCTTTAGGAACGGACATCTTTCTAAATAACAGGTCACTGCTTCTTTCTGATTCTCCTGAACAGCTCCTGAAAAAAGTATATTAGTTCCTTTTCCGTGTATATTTGATGTTTTGCCTGAGCAGATGTTCCCAGTGTTCCACAGATGTTCAGAATTTAAGAAAAGAAGTACTTTTGTAATTAGACAAAATTATTTGGGCTTTTGATGATGGAAAATCCTGATCAGACTATGGAGCCAGGGATTATGCAAGGGGAAAAGCAATCTTTACCAGACTCTCAAAGGCACATCAGTTTTTGTTTGAGGTAAGAAAGGGAACTTCATAGTTCTAGTCACAGGGCAGTAATTGAGCATTTTTAATGACATTAACAGAGGGTGGTATTTCAGAGGTGGTTACAGTGACTGCTCTAAGATGATGACAATGATAAATACTGAAGGTTTATAAAATAAAGGCAGTATTCAGGATTTGTATGACTTTGACCAGCAGCCTCTCAGTGCTCTGCTTTCTCTTACCTGGCAGAGAGCCATCACAATCTTGGATATCGAAAACAGCTACTTGAACTGTTTGAAGGGCTCATTCCGGTCCGGGAAGCAAGTCTTGGTGGGGATCACACCTGATGGCCAAGATGATTACAGATGGTGCTTTAGGTAACCTCTTTGTGTGTCAAACGAACAATCTTTTGTAGACAAACATTAAGGCATCTGGTGGTAGGAAGCAGAGCTTTCCCCCTGGAGCACTCTGAAAAGTGGCTCACTAATACTGTCTAGAGTAGTCAGTTTAATCTGATTTTTTAGGTCGGATCTGAGGCTTGAGAGGTGGCAGTTTGTGATAAAAGCTCATATTGGAGTTGTCTGGTGATGCTTAGAATAGATATTGGGTTTGTTGTTCTCTCCCCAGGGTTGATGAAGTGAACTGGTCCACATGGAATACGAACCTGGGCATAATCAACGAAGACCCCGGGTACTCCGGGGACCTCAGACGGAATCTCAGTTTCTCTATTAAACCTGGCAGAGGTGAGGGCTTCAGTGACCTAAATCCTAGTATGGGCTACACACTGGGGACAGTAGCAGCATGAATTAATTGTTAGAGGGCACTCAGTGTTATGCACTTACTGATAGTTCAGTAACTAAGTTTATGTCATTTCCCATCAGCACAAAATGCGAAGGATGAAGTGGGCTCATCACTCACAGCAGTTTGACTCTTGGGAATAAAACCCCCATAGATCTGTCATTCTGAATGAAGATTTTACAAGACAGATAAGGTGTAAATCCTGAGGAGATGGAGCAGTGTATGATGGCAACCAGATAGCCAGGAGGAGGCTTTTGGAGGCCCCAAGCCCTACAGTTTGGGAGCTCAGCCCCCAGCACAGAAGTATTCAACTGTGCAATCAGTCTCTGCTGTACTTGCCAGCTGAAATATGGAAAACTCATGCAACAGTATGGGCAAGAAAACCACAAAGCCCTTTCTTCCTGCTTCTTTCTTCTTCTTTCATCAGCTTCCTATTTAAACCACTTGTATATTTTCTGATTCTGTGGAGGGGGAAAATTTAACCATTCCTTTCCTTTGTAGTTTCAGGGAAACACTGGAAAACATTGGTTCCGCTTTTAAGAGATGGAAGCAGGAGAGAAGATAGTCACAAGCTACCAGAGGAAGTCAAATTAAAACCTGTTTTGGAACCTTATTATGAGCCAGAAGATTCTGAGGTGTTGAAGGAGTCGCTTCCAAAGTCAGTCTAATCTTGCTTTATTTTTAGGAAGAAGTTTAATTCTAGTTGTCTGTGTTGGCCCTGCTGGAAAAAGGCCAGAGGACTTAGGAAGTTACTGTGTGCAAGGATTCACTAAGTATGCTAAATAAAATACTTGTTGTTTAAGCTCATGTCTTCATGGTTATTTTTAGCATAACCTTCTGTCTACTTTTAGAGTCTCTTTCTTTTAAGAAGTATTTTTATGAGCTTCCATACACCCTGATTTTGTGGCTTTGCTGCCTCAAAACCCAACCAACCAAACTATTATGACACTGGAGATGGACTCATAAAAGAGCAGTGAAAATCCCCATAGATATGTTCCTGTGAGAAAAGTTTCTTGGAAAGCAGATAAATAAATGGGACAGGAAAAGAATACAAAATAATAAATGATTTAGAGATGTTATTCTTTTCTCATAACACAAGAACAAATACACTCTGTGAAATTTTAAAGGTTGAATAGTCAAAACCGATGAAATAAATGTTTCTCTTACACTGTCTGAGTAAACTCCAGAAATTCACAGTTATTGTTACTGAGGCTGAAGGCTTAACAAGATCCCAAATTTGACATTTATTTAGATAACAGATGAACTTTGCACAAAGTAAGAGATAGTGGTGATACAGAATATATGTTTCAAAGGTCAGATGTATAATAATGTACAACAATAATAATCTTGAAATCAGAAAGTTTTTGTTCTTGACTTTGACAGCAACCACAGGGGGAAAGAAATCTGGTGCTGCAAATCCATCTGGCTGGATTTACAAAGAGAATCAGGAAAACTATCTGAGAGAGAAAATAGGCAGATGTTCTAAAACTACAGATGGGAGCTCTGGAAAGAGAGGAGAGCGTAAGGTAAATTGTTTTGCTTTCTTTCCTTGCATCACTAAAGCACTTAAGAGTTCACAGCCTTTACTGCCCATGTCAGTGTGCACATACAAGTATCCTTAAGTCAGCAGGGTGTTTGACTGTGGGTTTCAGTCGTTCCTGTGGCTGCACCTGAAGAACAGTTGTGCTGAAGTGCTGCTGTGAAACCAGGCCAGAGCACACCCAGCCTGTGCCAGGGCAAGCCCGTGGTGCTGGGCTGTGACACACCCACCGTGCTTGGGAACACTCACCTGAGTCACTGCAGTTGGAATATGACACACTGGAGGGGCCCCTTGGAAATCGTTGGGAAAACTGGAAATGAGAGACATGGAAAATGGAGCCGACCTTTGAAACACAATTTTCATCAATACAGCCTGTAATTTTTCTGCATTTTCAGATACTGAAACAGTCATTACTCTTAAAGAGAAGCAATCACTGTATTTACCCTTTGCTGCTACAACTGTGAGATGAAGTTTTGGGTTGTGTGCCATCACTTCTCTTACTGGGGTCAGGGTTTCTCACCCTGTTCCTTTCTCACGGGGTACTGCAGCAATATATTTGAACAAAATCTTCAAACATCCAGCTGCTTTATTTGAAATAGTAGCACCATCTAGAGGACTAGTAATTCTTGTTTCTTTGGTTAGCATCATTCAGGACAAATGTCGTTTTAGTTTCACAGAGTTTGTAGGGTACAACCAGAGAAACTTGCCAAAGGATTTGAAAGAAATGCTTGAAAAAAATCAGAATTTAAACTGGAAATAATCAGAATTTAATGTCTCTGGTGGACAGGGAAGCCACAAAGGATGTTTAAAGCAGTGTGTTTAATTCCATACCAATTTCAATATCAAAGGTGTATCTCTAAACACTTGGTAGCAGCCTCTGTAGGTTCCACTCAAGGCTTCATTACACTCCATGCTAAACGTGGCAAGAGACAATCCACATGTAAAACAAGCACAGCTAAATAGGCAAGACAAGCTGAGACAGTGTAACAATTTATTATTAAAACAATTTAGAATAAATGTAGAAAGGGGCTGACCAGCAAAACATCGTTGATTGTCTCCATGCCTTTGTGTTCCAGGCCAAATTTATGCTTGGAGGGACACCAGGATCATGATATAGCTGGAAAGCATTCATGAAATTTCTGTTTTCCCTGGGAGGGATCCATTTCTCGTAATTATCAGCCTGAGTAGAGGCCTAATCCATTGCTTAAATTCCACCTTGATTTACATCAAGTGCCTATCCAGAAGGATTGATCAGCTGCCCTGGGTAACCTGAACATATTATACACCTCTGCCTTCCTGCCCCTTCCTGCTCCAAGAAGATTACAAATTACAGGAGACTTCTTAATAAAAACCAGAAATGCCGGAATTCAGACTGAAAACATGCATCAGTATAGTGCTGTGGTTAAGAATGTAAATGCCCTATACTTGTGGGATAGGGTGGTGCTGGTGGGGTTTTTGGTTACATTTTTAAAATCCCTTAGTCTTGTCTGGGAAGCAAACAAAATTATCCCACTTCTCCAGAGGGAATTATTACCAACCTCTCAGAATTTCCAGCTATACCATCCCTCAGTTCCTGCAGTGGGCAGAAATTTTTTTCCCACAGATGGGGAAGTAGAGCTTGGCAGTGATACCAACCCATTGTTGCACACATTTATTCAGACTCAGCCAGGGCTCTGTTTGCCAGTTTTCTTCCTTCATTTTCATTCCACCTCAGCACAGGGAATTACCTTTGGAGATGAAGGTGGGTCTGTTCAGGCAGACAGGGTGGGATGCCTGGAGGGGACACACTTGCTCTGAAGGGACAGACTCTCGTGCTGGAGGGCTCCAACTAACCCCAAGGGAAGAGAGGTGGCTTGTCAGGAAGTGTTTGTCCTTTAAAAATACCTTTGCCAGGACTAGCACCTTTCTGTTCCTGCTTGTAAACACCTGCACTGAGGAGGAGAATGGCCTTGTAACAAATTATCTTTACTTGGGTTCTTTTATGGAGGTTCTGCTCACCTTGGCAGACATATTTTGCAGGATCTTGCAGAATCTTGAGCCCTTGGGGAGTTTTTTATTTTGTAGTTTGCATAGTTATTTCCCACTGAGCATGTTTAGAAAAAACACATGGTTCCCATGCTGTTCTTTGAGGCTTGCAGGTGGTAAAAATCTGTCCTCTCACAGTTATTAGTCACATTAATTTATGTCCACACTAAGTGCTTAATATGAGATGATCAGGTTGAACAACTGTCTATAACCACCAGTTCCCAATAACCACATGGGCACAAAAGCCAAAGAAATGGAGGGTGTTGATGTGCTCACCTCCTGTCTGTGGGTGACAGCTGTAATTAGCAGTGACTGCAAATGTGTGTGGGATGGAGACAGCAAGAGAGCTGAGCTGGGCTGCCCTGCACTGGGAGGTGAGAATGGACTGATGAACCTGTGGGAAACCAAAGACATGATCTCAGTATTTACAGCATTGCCATACCTGAGATGCAACTGCTCTTGTCAGCCATGAAAACTGAACGGTTGTGCCTTTCAAACTCCAGTCATTTCTGAATTAGTTAAGAAAAATGCACATTCTGACTGAAGAACTTGGAGCCACACGGCCTGTTCGTGTGCACTTGTTGTGTCCTCTGCCACAGCTGCAGTGGCAGCTGGAGTGTGAATAGCCCTCGTGCTAATTAAGCATTCACATTAATCACCTCTCAGAGCTGCTTTTAGTGGGGTCCACGACAGAGCAGGGCCCACAAGAGGGCCCCCAAGCCATGTTTAGGGCTGCTGCTGGTCCTCCTGGGGCACCCCAGAACTGACTGGCCCCAGGACAGCCCCTCTCCCTCTGATGCCACTGTCTTGCTCTGCTGTCTCTGATCATATTAATTATGCAGAATTATATTTATTTTTGTTAAATGCCAGCTAATTCTGCCACTCTTCTGAGGCATCTGTATGACACTGGCACATTCCTCAGTCCTGCATCTTTGCTGGAGCCCCCAGTACTCAAAAATCCACAAGGTGTGTATGCCCAGCAAGTGCTGCTGTGCTACAAAACACAAGGGATCCTGCCAACCCCATGGCTTTAAGGGATAGAGCCAGCAGACTCAGGTTCTGATGCTTCAAGTTTTCAGAATCCCATAAATAGGATTTTTATACAGTGTTTTTCAACAAGCTGTTGTGGTAGATTTTCCAAATTCAAAAAAATTCCAGGTACATTAAAAATGCCTGATATGCTGATGATCAGGCAGTGTCCTGGATGTTTAACAGCAGCTTGCACACACTAGAGAGAATCCTGCAGTGCAAGGTGCTCCTTACATGTCTGCTCCATTAGGCACAGGCATGGATTTAGTAGGGCTTGGGAGGAAGGGGTTTTAATTGATGCTGCCAGATGCAGCATAGACATCCTGGGTCTTCTTGATGTGGTTATAGGGCTCTGAAGTGCTTCCCATGACCCACACCATGCACACTGGGAGGACTTCTGACTCTGGAATAGTTTCCACAGAGAAAATATGGACCCGATTCCTCCTACATCTGATGCTAATCTTCAAAATACGTGGTGGAGGGCACCTATTTCTCTGGGAAGGAGGAGAAATCAACCAACTGATCTCACTGGATTTCTCTCTTCCTGGTGTGTTGATGATGCTGTGGCTGAGCTACATCACCATTAGTAACACTTCCCGTTTCAGTGTGCAGGGAATGAGTGGGCTCCAGGAGACGCCAACATTTCCAGAATCACAGAGGTTTTCAGACTTCATCATCATCCAGAGCAGGATTTCTCAGTCCTGGCTCTAATCAGCCTCTAAAATCAACATTTTAGTCACCTGAATGTTGGTTTGAAAACTCGTGTCCCCTGGAATTGCCGTGTCAGCCGGCGAGAGCAACTCCCAGTTACAGGAACTAAAGGAAGTGTCCTACTCACTTGGCCTGTAAGAGCATGTCACTAAATCTAAGGTCATTTCTTTCAAAGCTGACATAGTAGGTTTATCCCAGACATTCCTCTTATTCCAGAGGAGAATGCGGATAATGAACCACATAGAGAAGAGGGATCCTGTCCCCAGTTCCTGTGAGTCAGAGGGGGAAAGCCAGGAGTGTTTAATTGGCAAAGAGGAAGACACAAGGAAGAAAATGTCCCTCATTATCAGAAAGATACAGGAGAGCTGAGTTTAGGGCTGGAAACAGGTAAAGGTTTCTCAAGAGGAAGATTTGCAAGGGCACATGGAAACAGCTATTTCTGAAATAAGCCCTGAATAACTGAAAGTTGAAGCACTGACAAAGAGAGAAGATGATTTACATAATAAAAGAGGTTTTAATTAGAATAATGGGTTGAAACTGAGACAGGGAAAATGTATCCTGAAAAGATGATCTTCCTGTGGGGCACATACAATGTGTGTCTGCCCAAAGAACTCCCTTTGGAATCGTGGGAAGTTTCAAATATCAGCCCACATAAGCAGGTAATCCAGTGCCATCCTGATTGCAGGAATGGGGGACCTGCAGGTTTTAGATCTTGTTTTGGGGAACCAAAGTAACTGAGGGTTTATCTCAATTGGTAGATGTTCACCTTCAGTTCTGCTTCCCTTAATTTCCAGAAATAACTTGACAAAAAGTGGAAGGGGCCTCCAGGGACTTAATTTTGTTATAGTTAGTGAGCACCTCATATGCTGCTACAGTGGATGCAAAGTTTGGGTTTCAGTTTAAGACGTGAGAGTGGGTGAATTTTTGTTCCACTCACATTTTTTATGGGTCTAAACAGATCTTTGGAGGGGGAAGGGGAGCAAACTATTCCCCAGATTTAGATGGATGAGACAGATAAAGATATTTTCCTTCTAAAAGAGGAGATTGAATGTTCCTAATCAAATGACTAAACTATTAGTTCAACCCAAAATTATTATGACATGCAAGTTCCTCCCCAGCTGTGGTGATCACCCTCCAAAAACTGCTTGAGTCAAACAGTGGCAGTACAAACTTGAGCAGAAAAATGTAGTGTATAGGTGGGGCCAACGCTTTCTTCACGGTGTGTTCCCTCAGGGATTTTCGTGTTGCTTAATTCCCCTGCACTGCTCAGCCTTACCAGAAACTCTGCACCACAACTGAAGATTTACTGAGGGTACAAGCTCAGCTGAAATAGTAGGAGAATGACCATGACCTAGCTGGGAATGTGAGGCTCAGCAGCCAAGAGAAGGTTGTGCTCTGGGAGACCTCACTGAAATGTGATGTGTCGCACGGGAGGCTTGGCTCCCTCCTGTGAACTGTGAACTGAGAGCCAATGGAAGTAAAAAGTGCCATCTCATGGTCTTAAAGCTGGTTTTATTTTTTCCTCCAAAGGTTCCATGCTTGTCTGAGCCTCTCCCAGTGACTGTGCACAGCCTGTGGCCCACAGCACCAGCAGCAAGGACACGCTCACAGGACAGGGACAAGAAGCACCCACCACCTCACACATCTGTGGGGTGTGTACAGTGAGGACTGGCAAAGGGCTTTGTAGCTTTGTTCTGTTACTTTTTGCCTTAGGAGTGGCAGGGGACAATTAACAAAAGCACAAATGCAGGAAAAGACACAGGAAAAGAGTTACAGATCCATTCTCCCCATTGCTTGTTATTATCTCGTGCTTATCTCATGTAACTTAACCAAGACAAGGGATAACTATGACCTGAAGTCAAATACTGATGCCACTTGCAAAAAGCGGATTTTTACTGTACTTATTTCAACTCACTCAATACTGAATCTGTCCCTGCATAGGGAATTGGCCAGAGGTGTGGGAATTAGAGAGACTCAGGTGGAAGTGATCACACTACCAGGTGGAGAGAGGGTATAATAAGGGAGGGAGGGAGGCAGCTTTTTTTCTTTGGGAAGGGTGGGGTGGGTGGAAGCTGAGATACAGGACTGGGTTCATCTCTGCTCTGTTATTCTTAGTGCTTACATTAGCATAGTCTCTGGGAGCCCTAGCCATGGTTCAGCAGGGCACTACTCAAATGCAGAATATAAATGTTCATGTTCCCAAGCTCAGCTATTAAGAAGGAAGAAAAGAGCAGAGACAGACTGAGGAGTGTCATGGGCTACTCATTGTGATGAGCAGGAAGGAGTCTCAGGGCAGCAGCAGCACTGCAGCTGGAGAGCTGCTTGAATTGGGCCCAGGAAGCAGAGTTTAGAGGAATAGGAATTAATTAGGATGTCTAACTATTGGATAATTATGGCAGTCCCAATAATAATGCTGTTTCTTTGGACTCCTCCACCTTTGCTTTTTTGCCCAAGCAAAAGAAGAAGCTGCATAGTGACATAGTTGTACTGGAGGCTTCAGTAACTCTTCTCTGTCTTTCTGTGAATGGGACTGTTCTTTTATGGCAAGAATCCTGGGGGATAAAATCTCCAGGCATGTATATCATGCAAATATGCATAACAACATTGCTGAAGAGGCTGACTTGTCCCTGCAGTCCAGACTGCACCAACTGGTAAGTGATGCACCAGTATTTTCCTGGAATGATTTTCCACAAGGCTGTTAGGTGATAGTCACACACACTTACAGGTTAATTCATTTCTCTGTGTTGCTCAGCTGCATAAAACAGCCTCTTATCTCACAGTTTATGAGCATATTATTTAAATAATTGCAAGTGCTACTCAGTTGCCTGGAGTGGTGTGAAAGCTCTTTGTACATGTGTAGCAGCACAGATATGATCCCAGAACAAGTTTAACTTCACAGGTAAATCTTCATGTGGCTTTTCAACATAAACTATACTGCTAGCATTGAAGACATACACCTTCTTTTAAAACCATAGTCTCTGTGGGATGTCTTGTGGATTCTTCCCACAACAGATCAACAACTCTGAGTCCTTTTCAGACAATTTAAATGCCCTTTTTCCACGGTGAAAAATCATGAAATATTCCTATAAATCAATTAAATACTATGCTTGGTGGAATTGGGCTGCTACTACTACTTGGAGTGCTCAGTGTTTTAATACTTAAATTGTGGATTATTTTTAAGGAGTGGGGAATGGAATGATGACAGTAAGTAATTTACAATTATTCTTGCTGTTACCTAATGTTAAAAATGCTTTCAGATAATGGCTCTTCCCCTTAGTGACTACTGAAAATGACAGAATTAAATACAAAATCTGAATAACTTTTAATGTGGGTTTGACTGGGATCATGTCATGTATCAGCAGAGGAACAAATGCAGCTCTGACTTGCTGATGTCAGATGGCAGAACTCCAAATGCTCAATCCCTCCCATCTGGGGTTTCCTTCATCTTGTTCATTTTAGTTTCTAGTGAGTCTAGCACTTGCTAGGAAAACAAAATAATGCCAGATAGGACTTCTGCTGCTTATTTGTGCTGCACAGGCTATCCAATGCTAATGTTTTTCAAGTAATTTTTAATAAGGGATACATGTTATTAACATTCCCGACCCTTATGGCATCTCTTTGGTAGCTGGAGCAGCTGGCAGGTGCTGTAAAGCTCTATAAAATGGTCTACATAGTCATGATAGAGCCTATTGCAAAACCCTCCATGGCTTCTGAAAAATGCTGGCCTTGTCAGAAACCTCAGGGTGGAGCAGGTCTGGGAACATAAAGGTTGAGCAGGTTAATGATTAAAACTGTAAGAAAATGTTTGCACGAGTGTGACTTACTGTACTTCTGCCTCTCATTTCCTGGCTCTTAAGCCTGTCCTTAAAAATAGCTCAGTTCAGGCCATCCTATGGGTGGCATGGGATGTCCTTGTGTGTTTTCAGGCAGATCAGCTCCAAGCAGTCTGGGCTGCAGTTCCCTAAATCTCACAGTTGCACAGGGAAGGCCACGCTCAGGTTCAGCGAGTCAAGGCTGTCCTTGTAATGCAACAAGAAGCTGTTAACACAGAGCAGGCAGGATGGAGTGTAACCTGTGTGTGTGAACTGTCAACAGCTCACACAATCTTCTGCACCTCTCCACAGGCAGGTTTGGAGCAGGGCTCTGCCTTTCTTGCTGTAGCTTGTCCCAGTTTTTCTCTTTGGATAACTGCCACTACATTATAAATAGACCACACTGCTAGGGCCTATATTCTGCTAAACCACACAGATCTGGGTGCTTTCAGATATAGCTGCTTTCTGAGTTCAAAGTCCTGCTTGCTGCCAAACCCATTTTCTCTCCTTAGCAGAAGAATTTCTGTCACTGTGGTTGATGCCAGAGGTAAAGCAACAGTCCTCAAATGCACCTTCACCCAGATTTAATGTAGCTTTGCCTCTTTTCACATTTCTATCCTCAGAGCGACTTCAATTAAACAGTTTCTCGCATTTTGTGTTGAGATCTGAGCTGCTGCTCTCCCAGGCAGGATGAAATGGCAGGATTCAGTCCCTTTTCCAGGTCATTACACCAGCAGGTAAGAGACCATCAAAGCAGCTGACTCTGGGTTGTCACGTATTAACTCGGACACAGTCATTTAACAAGATGTGAACAATATCTCCTGGTACAGGGTTTGGAATATATCACCACAAATTTCTGTTGGGCAAAGGTGGATGTGTGCTCAGCACTTCCACCTGATGCCAAATCCAACCGGCCTGGGCCTGTTTCCCCACACAGCTCCTGGGAAGCTGGTTCGTTACAGGGAACAGTGCAGTGCTCCTGGCATTTCACACAGTGAGATCTGAGGCAAATGGAATACCCAGCAGTCCTGTTTTTAAAGATATCTACTTCACAGGAAGAGTTTAGCTGCAGTTTGTAAGTATATTTTAAAGCCATATTCTTTGCATTAAAATCTCTGGATCTAGGTCATAGTATCCTAAGATATTTTGGTTTTACTTCCAAATTTTTGATCTACCTCCTACCAAAAAAAAAAAAAAAAAAAACCAAACACCAAAACCCCACAAAAACTTGGCTCTTTCTTCCCTTGGCTACAGCTGGGCAAAGATTCCTGTTCTGCTGCCTGCATGGTTCACCTTAAACTCCCATCTAATAATCAAGTAAAGACCAGCAGCTGTAATTGCACCTTGCAGGTCTCGCAGGCAAAGACACACGAGTTTTTAACGTACTATTTCTGGTGATAAAGGAGGAACTCTATAAAAAGAGCAGAAGAACTTATGGTCACTCTTCTGGCATGTCCCAGAACAGAATTCTGCATCAGCCATTGCTCAACAGCTCAGAATTAGCAAAGCTGAGACATGCAGCACAAAGCAACACCAGGACTGTTTATGTGAAACCCAACTGTCTGTGTTCCCACAGCCCCTCTGGGTACACATTCACCAGAAACTATTATAGGTGGGGAAAGATCTAAACACGCCCACCGTGTTTTCACTGACATTATCGCTGTGAAATAAGATTTTTCTAAGACCTTTTCTAATTTTTCAAAGTCATAGCAAAATCTTTTTGCTTGCTGGAGCACTTAGCAGGATCCTTTCCTCATTTCTGCTTTGGAGTAGTTCCATGCTATATAATAAACTGAGCATGACATAAAAGGGGTCATTTACAACCCAAATGCATGTGCATAACCATTTTCCTTTGAAAACAGTATGTAAACTGCAGAGCAGCGATGGTTTGAGATATTCTACTGCTGCCATTAAGTCATCCCTGAGCAACTCAGCTTTAGTAACATTTCAGTGTATAATTATTGCGTGTGTGTGTGTGTGTCATCCCGCTTTGGCAGCTGTGAGGTAAAGGCTTTGTTGTCTAGCGAGTTCCTCTCTGCTCCCTAATTTCAGACGTAGCAAACCCCGTACGGCCGCGGTGCTCCGGCGCTGGCCCTGGCTGAGCTCCCCAGCTGAGCACCCTGGATGACTGGAGAAGGGTGGTTTGGCGTTTTTAGGATAGTTTTGAGCTCGAACGTGGTTTTGCTCCTTTGGCAGGTGAGCTCTGGATGTTGTTGCAGCACCAGCAGGGCCCTGCTTTGATCCTTGGGCCGTTCCGAGGCTCCTCGTCCCCGCTGGAATGGAGGTGTCGTAAGCAGGGTAAGTTCTCCGGGAGCTCTGTGGGTGTTTGGGGCAGGTGATGTTTCTGGAGAGAGTGAAATCTTCAAGAGACAAACACAAAACCAGCTGCTCAACTGGAGAAGGCTTTTCTGTCATGCTTGTTTCTGGTTTTCTAGTTTATAAACCCTGAGCTGTGCCACGTCGACTCCTTGGGCATTCAGGAGTGAAGAAAGATGGACCTGATTTCATTTGTATTTGCCAGCCCCAAATCACTGTTGCACTTCCTAATTCCTGTGCCAAGGGGATCCAAAATATAATATCATACAGACCAAACTTTATTACATTCATCTTCCACTGAAAGTTTCAGTTACTGTGGAGACCGTTGAAAGTAAAATCCCCAGGCTTGGTAGAATAGTTTTTATTTCAACTCAGTAAAATTTCTTCTTTTTATTTAATTCAGAAATAAGCTTAAAGCACTTTTCCTCAGGGAAAAACATTGCTTTTCAGAGTCTTTTTAAACTTCTGTTAGGAAAAACCTTCATAGGAAAGAACAAATTTCTCCCCGAGAAGCAAATGAATTTTTGATAGTGCATACTAATGCCCCTCAAAAGTCTAAAAATCTTACAGAAATATGAAACTCTTTTCTATCAAGTGAAACTTTCTGCTGATAGGACTCATAATGCTTTAAGTAATGCACAAAAGTCAAAATGAAGTTTTATCAGCTTTCCCCTCAGGGAGGGGAATTTCTTTTTTATGAGCCAGTAAGAAATTAGGTCGCAGGTGCTGGCAAGTGTCATGGGCTGTTGGAAGGATCCTGTGAATGGAACAGTTATTGACAGTCACTTCCACTCCTCTGCCCCCAGGGAAGAAGAGACCTTTTTGCCACAATATCACAGCTGAGGGTTTCTTTTGATTTGTAGGATTCTCTGTTTAGCCACTTCATTTATAGTTATTGAGCTGTGAAGTTATAGGTATGTATGATTTTTCTTGTTCTCAGGCAAGCACAAGGTGAGTCTGTGATAGTGTGTAAAGTGCCTGCTTACTGTAGGAATGGCAGAATCCCATTCACCATTACAGATGAATACTCTGCTGGGGGTCAGATACCAAGTCCTCCATGTCCTCAGATCCCCTTCAAAGTAATTCTCAATACTATAAATCAATGCAGTGGTTTTGTCTTGCTGCCGACTTCAGATAAGCCACTTCCCTGGTGGTCTGTAAGTAACAATTAACTTGATAATGGGAGTAGAAAATAGTTACAATAAAAGACAATGCTCCATATCGGGTTACATAAGCGACATGATGTGACACTTTTCAGGCTGTTGCACTATTTTTCTCTACATGTCATAGATTAGAGAAAATGATAGTGCTCTGGAAGCTGTTGATGAAAGCCCTGGCTTAGTTTTCCTGTAAGCATACAATTAATTGTGATTAAAAATGAAGCAGATGCTACCTCAGCACTGTAACGAGGTACCTCTGCTGTTGTGCCTGCAGTTATTTACTTGTGCAGGCTGAGATCTCATTTAAAACAGGCTTTTTGGCTGAGACTACAATCAAATGTCCTGTATGCTTTTGGAAGCTTAGTTCCTGTATACAAAAGTGAAAATCTTTTTCCTTCCCAGAGTGTTTTCTTGTATTGCTGATGGTTCAGCAGCCCTTCATCATTCAGTACAACTCCAGTGCTATCTTTGACTATTTTCACCTCTCCTAAATGATGCAGCCTGTGCTTGAGCCACTGCTAAAATCTCTGTGGTGGAAACTGGCTGCAGAGATGAGGCTTTGAGCTGCTGCCCTTGCAGAAATGTGTTGCTGTGTCTGAGCAGCTCCAGTGTCGCTCACAAAGGAGAGGCTCTTCCTCGTGGCCACTCTGTCCTTTAGAGATTTAACCTTGGTCTTTATTTCTCCAGCTCTTCCTGCCCCTCTCTCTGACCCCTCTGACTTTGCTCACCTCCCAGCTGTGCCCCTCTCAATTTGGCAACGCCTTTTGCTGACACACTTTTGGAATTTTTAGTCTGTTTCCAGTTATTCTCTTGCTTTAAAGTCACTCATTTAGTGCAGCTATTTAATGCCCATCTCCATCATATTCTGGTCCCCTCATATGTGATTTATGTCCAGTGCCACGTTTGCCTCTTCCTTGAGATGGGAAATGTCTTTGCCCATACACTGCTTTGTATTCTTAAAGTACTTAGTAAGAAGTAAATAGCAGAATTATTTATGAACTGAGTAAGACAACAGTCATTTGTTTTAGCTGTGTTAAGACTAAATGTTTATCAGTGTATTCACTGACACAACATGTGTCTAGAGACTACGTGAATTGCATTTCCAATGGCATGGACAAAAACCTTTCTCCTGCCTCGACTGTGGAATATCCAAGTTCAGTTCTTTTGTGCATTTACTGCTGTGAAAGCTACAATGTGCTTTGTATGCAAGTGTACTAAGTAAAAATATTTTCTCTTTGTAAATTATTTCTATGGAAGTTGTGATATGCATTCTTAGGAAATGCATCCAAACTAGGCGTGTTTCCAAGTTGCTCTAGTGTGAACACATCTATCAATGGTAGAAAACACAATAAAAATTTATTTCCATGCCTGTTTCTTAAGCCAACCTTTGCAAGGTAAGGAGTCCTTTCCAGTATTTGAAATTCCTATTCCATTTAGTGCCAAGAAATGACAGCTGCACTTACATGTGTTTGGACCCTGTAAGTTCTCAGTTCTCTGTATGTGGGATTGAAAATTCCCATAATTAAACATTTGTTGTTTATGCATTAATAGACTCTATTCAAATATCAAATATTCCTGGCTCCTCTCTCACACCAGGTGTCATGTCTTTTCAAACACACTCCTCAATCTGCTTTTTGTATCTCGATATTCCCATAATGAAGGAATCCTGGAAGGAATCATTGACAGCACTGTGACAGGAGCAGAAAGTTTTGTGTGTACATTTGTCACATTAAGGAAAGTGGAGTAGGAGGGGAAAAAATGTGTAGTTCATTTTGTGCAAACTTGCAGGCAAATTATTTTTGCCATTTGTCCTTGGGTATGGAGGGCACTCCCCTCATTTCCTGGGAAATGCATCCCTGACCTTGTAATGGTTTTACATTCAGTGAATTTTAATGTATCCTGAACTCACCTTCTCGCTTTCAAATTATCCTGGGTGATTTAAAATGATGCCCTTGAGTGTTAGATTGAGAAACAGGGAGATAGTTATTCATTATTACTTACAGAATTCATGCTGTGGGTGTTCAGAAGCAGGTAACATGCATTAAGATCCTTTTGTGTCATGTGGTGGTGACAATTTCCATCCAGTAGAATCATGATTTTTTTTTTCTTTTTCCTGAAGAAATGTTGAGAAATGTCACCAGAACACAAAAATTCTGAATATTATGCATGTGATGGTTTAGCTGAGCTCAGCCTGGGCATTGGATTCAGTCTCTTACTTCAGCTGTTCTAAGGCAGTGAAAAGTTTCAGGGATTTTTTGTTCATTACCCTTCATGTCTGGAACCTTCCTTCAAATATTGTATCAGTTGCACAGACCTTCCTGAATTTTTTCTGGAATTTACCAGTTTTCTGAAATTGTCTTGGACAAAGCAGACTACTCAGATTAACTGTAAATATTCATAAACTTTAGAGGTACTTCTAAAAGTCTTCTCTGAATAACATCCACTGTCGTGATTGACAGATCCCCTTCAGTTTAATTTAGGCACAGGCTTGAATTTATAGTTCTACTGGTGCCACTTTTAATGGTACTTCTTCTAGAATTAAATTTAATGAGTCAAGTATAAAACCCTCCTGCCTTGATACATGAAACGGCATGTGCTTAGCAACTGAAAAATGAAAAACTTAAAGCCCAATCAATATTTGTGTGTTTATTTGTGTATAAGTAGGCAATTTGGTCACTATACTTCCTTCAAATGAACAGGAGTCAAGTAACCATGAATCTCTCTACTGCAGGAACATGATTAAAGATAACAACGAAGTTGTTCCACTAATGGGCAAGAAAACAAATCCGTCAGGAATTCCCCCTTCAAACCAGCAAGAGAAAAAGGTGACTGAGAGCACTCCCACGAAGAAAAGGTAGGACTCCAGCTCAGCCTAAACCACTAAAACTCCCTGGTTTATCTCCTTTAGTTGATGTTGGCACTGAAATACCACTAACACCTGTATTTACACTGCAAATATGAATGAGAGAGACCTGGTAACACAAGATGCCTTCACATGACCATGCTTATGCTGTTTATGAGTGGAAGAGTTAGGAACACATATGATGTGTTTACTCTAATGGGACAAATATTTAACCCTTGTCCCAGAGCCATCAGGATCATATACCAGTCTTTAAAGTCTGTTTCTGATCTACTTTGATTAACAATACTTCATTGTTTTATAAAATATTCACTTTCATTTATAATTTATATTAGAGAATTAATAAAGGGACTAAGGGTTTGTATTTAATATGAGTGGGGAAATATAAGCTGTAATTCCTGCCTGGTACCATGCTATTGAAGTGAACTAAGTTGCTGTAGAGCGAGGATGAATTTTCATTCATAAACTTTTCACTCTGGATGATAATTACTAGTTATTATGGCAATTTCTGAAACTCTGAAGGCCTAGGCAATTGTGGCTGTTCTGACATTTATAATTCTCAATAATCAGAGGAATCACTTTTCACAGAAATGGTGCCATTAGTTATTTGAGACCCACTGCCTGGGTGGTCCAATTTGTCTTTCTGTCACTGAATTCCAAAAGAGCAGCTCTTTGGTGGCATATGGGGGAGACAAGGTGTCTGAACAGCTCGTGATACACCCAGTACTTCAAAAAGGGGCAATTCCATGGGAGACTGTGTGGTTGTAAGAACACTGCCAAACCCAAGCCCTCAATTACTTACCTCATATCTCACATTCAATTTTGTGGCCTCCAGAACAGTAACTGTGGGGTTTTTCCCACCTCTCACACCAAGAGAGGTGTGGCCCACAACATTCCTGTGATACACAGCACCGAGGTCCCGTGAATTTTAATGCAGGGGTTTAACATGCTCTTTTAATTATATGTTCCTGTGCTGCTTTATCCTGTTGCTGCAAGACACTTCCTCCAATTGTGCCACCAGTAGCTGCTGCACTTCCAGGGTGGCATCTCTCACTCAACAAAATGTACTGGCAATATGCATTTTCTTGAAAGACAATGACATTCTCTTCTTGAAGGCCCTGGAATTTGGACTAACAGTATATAATTAAGTACAGGAAAACTGGGAGGAGGCTGCAAATGTTGTCAGAGCCTGCTGATGTTTGTGGGCAGTGCACCAGGGCCACGGAAGCACTTGGGTATTTGCTGGTAGCTCTCCAACTGCTTTGCACGGTGGCTTTGGGGTTTTTTTTCCCCCCATGATATCCCCAGGTAACCCACATGCCAGGGTAGGTGAGGTCTGGCAGCCTCCAAACCAGGGTTCACTCCATAGCTGCTGTACCTGCCAAAACCTTCAGCAGGAACACACTGCTGGGAGAGCAGGAGCAGCTCCGAGACATCAGCCTGTGATGCACTGTCCCCTCAGGTGAGAAGGTCCAGCAGAGCCCAGACCTTGGCACTTCTGGCTTTAGGGAGCCTCACTGCAGCCTCCAACAGGTGTTTGCCTGTTGGGACAGCTCCTGCACTTCATGGTCAGGGAATGCAAAAAAACAGGATGAATCCCTGTTTTTTCCACTCCTCCACAGTCCCTCTGCCAAGTCCAGACCTCAGTGAAACAGCAGTGACTGGCACAAGTGATGGTCCTGGTTCTGTCTGGGTTTTTCCTACCCCCTGCCCAGGTAATTTCAGGGACACAGTCCTGCTAACCAGAAGTGACATTTTACTTGCTGCCTGCTTAGAACATGTTCACAGGCACATCTCAAATGTTAAAAGGTCATAAAAGTTTAAATAACTACAGACAGTGAATTATCACTTGGGTCACCAAGGCATTGGAAAGTGAGATGAATTAGGTCATGCTGTTTTTAGCAAACATCAGCAGGTTGTTCAATAGGGTTCTAATAACATACTGCATTTTAGCATCACTACATGTACTTGACTTCAACAGGATTCTTTGGGGAAGATGCAGTTAAAAAAGAGAAAGAAATACCCTATGGACTAAACCATAAATATTAAATGAATTGGAAGCATTTTCCAGGTGACTACTGGAACATTTTTAGAAATGTAACACAGTTTCTGAACAACAGCCCATGTGGGAGTTGCTACACCCACCACTGGAACTTCTCTCTCTGTGGTGAACTGTAGCAATGTTTTAGTGAGATCCAGTAATACCAAGCCATTGATTTTTGCCTCTCAACTCCGCAGGCTTTTAAAGGATGATATCTTCCTATTCTTTTCATTTGCCTTTTCTGTGTTGCTTCAAATTATATTTTTCACTATAAATAATTCCATATATATTTATATAATTATTTATCAGGAAAAAAATAGTTAAATGTCATGCATGACTGGCAAGAGGACACAGTCAGTCCTGGCTGGTGGAAATGCCTGATGTCTTTTAACATGTGACCTTTCAAACATTCTGATTTAATCATTATCACTGCTGATGGGTTTGAAATGATCCATCTGATGGCTCCTGGCTGGAGAAACAGGGAGTAGGATGCAGTAGATTAAAAAGCAGTTGTGTGTGTGTAGCTGAGCAGTGACTGGGGTTGCATTTGGCTCTTTGCACTGGAGCTGAATGCAAGGCTGGTTTAGGGCTGCTGGGGTTGCTCTTAGACATGTCAGGATCTGATGCCATGTGTTCTAAAAATACCTTAGGAATTTTGCCCATCTGCCAGCATGAAAGAGCTGGGCACAGTGCTGGAGGTTGGGATCTCCCCAGGGGAAAGCAGATAAGCCTCTGTTCCAACATCTTGTTAGGTAATGCCAGAAAAGATTAATTGTCAAGCCTGCCCTAGGTATGTACTTGTAGAGCTCTGCTTGGTCTGTGGTTGCTAATATTTTTTAAATGCACTGTCTTCAACAGTTCCCACTTTTTCCTGGAGATTGATGGTTTTGAAAGCAATGCCACTCCAAATAACACATCTCCCCCTGTGTTTTCAAAACCAATGGATTCAAATATTCGTCCCTGGTAAGTTATAGATTCATCTGCAATAGTCATACTGCAAATATATCTATTTTCTTTCCAGCAGCTACTCCTTATTCCTCCTTAGACTCCAGTGCTAGAATTTCACATGAGATTTCATAGCTTTTGGTCACTTCAAAGACAGAACTTCACTGGAGTCCATTGTTGATCAGTAGATGACTTATCTTTATCTACTGCTGACACTTGCATGGAATAAATCAGGCCTCAGTTTTAAGTAATTTTAAAATCAGTACTTTTTTTATTCTTAGCCTCTCATTAATGGTACATTAGAACAAACTCCACAGCTTAATTTAGCAAACCCTGTTCACAGCTGGGTGCTGACGTCCTCCCTCTATTGCTCATTAGCAATCAAACAACGTGAAAATGCTGAGTCTGAAATGTTTAAAGCAGCCATTTATGCTGAATGAATGGAGAAAAATTATGACTGGGAAGAATGCATGTCATTTTTAAAAGTGTGTGAGGTGCCAACAGCCAATAACGATGAATAAGGGAAATATGTAACAAATCTGCCAAAAGCCCAGAATGGCCAAAGGTTTGTGTTTCTGATGGGTGTCTGCTCAGCTTTTTGGAATTAGCTGACAGTCTGATTTTGGTTTCAGAGGAGAGGTATCCAAATTTCTTCCTTTCATTCAGGGACTGACCTGCACAAGACACACACACAGTGTTTGCCAGACATTCCTCAATTTTCTGCAGGAATGACAGATGGAATAAAAACAGACTCTGAGCTCCCAGCTTTAGTTCAAAGGGAAGGGAATACCTTCAGAACAGTGCTGGACACTTGCATTGCTGTCCATGCATCTGTTTTGTCAATACTTATAGTTCAGATTCCTGAAATTATTAACCTGAGGTAGTTCATCAAATATGAACCTTGCAGAAAACAAAAATAAAAGTAAGAACAATTATAATGAGTTTTAAAGTCAGATCTGCTTGTAGGGCTGTCTGGAAATTATGTACAGCAAATACAAAATACCAGTTCCATTGAAATCCTCTAAATATATTAACTAAATATGTATTTAAGGCCCGGTCCTCAACTTCTTTTAGCTGAAGCTTCCATTCAAGTCAGCCACAAAATGCTCCTGACTTGCCAAGAGTGTTCTGTGTAGTAAAACTTTAGGTAAATCACTTCCATTCTGGGTTTGCAACCCATATGCTGCTACTGATTTAGCACTTGTTTTGTGGCAAATGACAAATTAAGCATGTGAAAATGAAGATTGTAGCATTCAGGATGATGCATAAAATGCAGTGATCATTTAAAAAAAAAAGGAAGAAAAAACTTCTCACATTTTCAGGATCTGTAGTGAAATAATATAACACAAAGCAGATTGCTTTCCTAATGTGTTTTTTTAAAATATAATAAAATCCTGTGAGTCTCTCAATTTTTACCACTTATTTTAAAATTCATGTGGGAGATAAAATTCCAGAGTTAAAATGCACAATTTCAAATTAGACTAATTTTAGCTCTGCTGTAGATACTGCCTCCTACCACTGACTGATTCTTCATGCAGTTTGCTAAAATATCTTTTAATATCTTTGCACATGTGCTTTTCTGTTTTCTTTAGTGCTTCTGGAAATGGGGAAGACATGGATTCCCCACAGTCTCTTCAGGATGATGCCACTGAGTATAGTCCTAATGTAGACAGTTGCTGGTGAGTGGAGACAGGAATATTTCTCAGTACATTTTCAACAGATTAAGTTTATGACAGGGAAGATATTCCTTATTTTGCCTGCCATGTTTAAGGAAAAAGGTCATGTGTGTGCACACATTTCTAATTCCTCTATAATTAAATGTTGAAATAAACAACTCTAATCTCTGCTTTTCTCAGATTTCATGCTTAGTGTGAGGATTCTTCATACCTAAAGTCTGTTTTCTAGATGACAACACAGGACCTACACAGCATGCACAGCTAGGCATGAGCTGGGGGTGTTTCTGACTGGGGGAATTGTTAAATCATTCCAGAATAATGGATGATCAGGAAAGAGTTGTCAGATATGAGGTTAAAAACTTATCTTCTGCTGGAGTGCAGCATCAGGAACCTCAGCACTGAAGTCAGTGAGTTGTGGGCAGATCAAAGAAGTATTTCTCAACCTTTGTTCTAAAAGAATGGGTGAACTGGTGAGAACACAAAACAAAACACTTGAAAAATGTGCTGGTTTATTATAAAACACCTCAATAACCACTTACCTGCAAATAAGCAAACTGGGAAATGTTCTGTGAGATCCATGTCGAGATATATGTGGAAGCAGGGCAGGTATGTGTTGTCTGAGGCAAGTAATTGTATTTTTATTCCCTCTTCTGTAGAAAATAATATAAAAATATAGTAAATGGAATCAGGAATTTCGTTATTTCTTGCAATCCAGTGCTAACATATCCCAAGGACCTGAGCAGACCAGTGCCAGGAAGAAGCTGAAGCGATTCCTATTCCGGGCAGTGTCGGAGGGGAACGTGGAGGAGCTGCAGTGTCTGCTCGGGGAGCTGAAGGAGCGATCCAGGGCCTGCACAAACATGACTGTGCCAGGTGAGGGGTGCAGATACCCAGGGGAAGATTGTTGGCTCTTCTGGCAGCACATTTGTAGCCTAAAACTGGGAATTATCTCTGTGGAGCAGCTACTTTCCTGTGAATTTGGATCTGTCTGGAGTTATGGCGGTGGAATGTCCAACAGGAAAACCAGTGGCAAATAGTTTATGTTCATATATATCTTTCAAGTTTAACCCTTAATTAACAAAAGTTTAGTAAATCATGATGATCTAATCCTAAAAATTCACTCTTGTAGATTATCTGATGAAAAAATTCACAGCTTCAGATACCGGCAAAACTTGTCTGATGAAAGCTCTGCTGAACATCAACGAGAACACGAATGAGGTAGTGAATATGCTCCTGTCCTTTGCAGAAGAAAATGGTATTCTGGAGAGATTTATCAATGCAGCTTACACAGAAGAGGCATATAAAGGTACTGCCATCTGATACCAGTTTCAGGTATATGGTTAAACATACCATCCATAAAATACTATTCTCCTCAAACACTCTAATGATGGTTTAAATTCCTAAACCAACTTTAATTCATTTATTCACTGGTGCTATTCACTGTGAAATATCATTGGTATTTCAGAATGTACTTGAGAGATTCCCGTGTCTGTTTTTCCAGGCCAGACAGCTCTAAATATTGCCATTGAGAGGAGACAGTACGAAATAACCCAGAGCCTCATAGAAAAAGGAGCTGATGTCAATGCTCATGCCCAGGGTATTTTCTTTAATCCCAAACATAAGCATGAAGGCTTTTATTTTGGTAAGTGGAAATGTGATCTTTCTGGAAAAGTTAAGAAGGAATACCCAAAGCTTTTATAAAACAAGAGCTTAACTCAATACAATCAATAGTAAATGTACTTTCATATGTTAAGATTCTTAACACAGTCACTCTTTTATAATCTGATTTGTAATAAAACATGAACACATGTTGCATTTTATGATTTTTATAGGTGAAACTGCACTGGCATTAGCTGCCTGTACCAACCAACCAGACATAATTCAACTGTTAATGGACAATGCCAGGACTAATATTTCTTCTCAGGATTCCAGAGGAAACAATATCCTCCATGCATTAGTTACTGTGGCAGAGGACTCAAAAACTCAGAATGATTTTGTAATCAGAATGTATGATATGATATTGTTGAAAAGTAAAGACAAAAATTTGGAAACAACAAAGAATAAGGAGGGTTTGACACCACTACAGTTGGCTGCAAAAACTGGGAAATTAGAGGTGGGTATTATTTCAGTAGCATCTAAGAGAAACCAGTGCTCTGACACATCCTTTTTCAGCCTGGTTATGCTGTTATGTATCAGTAGTATTTAGTGAGCTAATTTTGTTTAAAACACAAGGAAACATTTTCATTGCCACGTTGCTTCTACCTTTCAAGGTTTCCCTGTAACTCCCCCTCTCTGTATAAAATACACATTGTTTAAAAACAGCTTGGCAAACCCTTCTGTTGCACAGAAACTCAGAAATTCTGCATTTATTACCATATTGCACTTATGCAGTCTTTGAACAGTTTCAGGAAACTCACTGGAACTGCTCTGTTACTCTGCTGTAGAATTTGGTTTTCAGAAATCTACTGAATTGTAAAAAATTGGCAATGGGATAATTTAGAAAAGAATTGTTTAAGTTGAAGGAAGACATAAATGAACACATGGAAAATTTTGCTTTTATCCTCTAGAAAAATGACTCTGACAGAAAATATGGAGGCATTAGAAACTCTGTATTTAATTCTTGGTGGTCTTTCATCTCCAACACACAATTACAAATACACTGACTTTGCACAACTGTACAAAATGTGACAGGGAAAAGGTTGGGGTTTGAGCCTGTTATGTTCATGTGCTTTCCCCTTTCCCATGACCAACACAGCTGCTCACAAATGATCCTGTTAATGTTTTAGATTCTGAAATACATCCTGAGCAGAGAGATCAGAGAGAAGCCAAACAGGAGCCTGTCAAGAAAATTCACAGACTGGGCTTATGGTCCTGTTCAGTCTTCTCTGTATGACCTGACAGAACTGGACACCACTGCAGACAACTCAGTGCTGGAAATCATTGTCTATAACACAAATATTGGTGTAAGTTACCTATTTTTAAAATACAGATCCATTTTTTCCTAGCAGTACACTCATTTCAGATGTGTTAGTCTATGTATTCCAATGAATTATTTGTAAAAGTAAACTGTAATTTTTGTTCTCAGTTTTTGTATTGGGAGCAAGATAAATTTTATACCTCTGTAGATGGTCACCTGTAAAAGAATATGCATTCAACTCCTGAAACATGGGCTAGGCATTTTGGGAATGTCTTTTCCTACATTAGGAGCATTAATTTACCTTATGTTTAAGTATGACCAAGCTGGTCAGGCCAAATAAACTTCACTTAATAGGTATGTATTTTACATGTTTAGAAGTGTTTGCTTTTCAAAGCCAGAATTTTACATTTACTCAATTCTAATACTGCCATAAAACCATAAGACCAGAAGTTCACATGACAGTTTTAGCTCCATCATAACTTACCAGACAGAGAATGGCAGGTTACCCCAGCACGAGTGGGAGCTGTCCCATTGCATCTTGTCACGTCAGGGTCTGACCCATCTCTGAGCACAGATGTGTTTCTGGATCAGAAAGGGTGGGAACTGAATGAAATGCACAAAGTACATGACTGAAATTCAAGTTTTAATTGGTTTATTTTGGTTTTTTTCCCCTACAGAATCGTCATGAAATGCTGACTTTGGAGCCTCTGAATTCCCTCCTGCGAATGAAGTGGAAGAAGTTTGCACGGCACATGTTTTTTATGTCGTGCTGTTTTTATTTCCTGTACAATGTAACTTTAACATTAGTTTCCTACCACAGGCCTAATGAAAATAAAGTGAGTACAGTGACTGAATCTCACCAAATTTCACTGACTTAAAATGCAGTAGGGTTTCCTGAATTGTATTGAAAATGCTAAACCAGAAGCAGTTGTTGGAATATCTGGCTGTAGGGAGACCAGGCTCTCCCACATCAGGTACCTGGAAGGAAGCAGAGCAGTAAGAGGATATAACTATATTTGCATTTTGTGAAAATGACCCAAAAATACAAATACATGACACAAAGACAGGTTGTTAAATTTCTAAAAGTGTGGAAAAGGTATTTTTCTGTTAATAGAGAAACTTCTGCTTTTTCAAATATATATCTGTTAAGGGGGTAATTCTTTAAATCCACCATGAAAAAAATCCTTACAGAAAGGGAAATAAATTGTGTACCCATGTGGGGAGGTTTCTTGTTGCTTTGCCTTTTACCCTTCAGGTAAAACTGAGTCTTTATTTTTGGACCTGTCTTGCAGGCTCCACCTTATCCACTTGCTCTGACACGTGGAGTGGGAGGGCTGCAGTTGTCAGGACAGGTGATGGTTATGTTAGGAGCAATATTTTTAGCCATTAAAGAGGTAAGACTTTTTATTAACAAATATATAAATAACTACATGAAGAACTTCTCTAGATTTATGAACATGCTGCTGCTTTTATTGATATCCACAATACATGTGGAGTGTCTTTGATGTGTGTAACTTTTTAAGTCTTTGGCACACTACATTGCTTACCAGAATGACCCTGGTTGTATATTTGAATGCACCTGTATTGCTCTGTGAAACAGCTATGAAGGTGTTTTCCCTTCAAATTTTCAAGGCAGAGATTTGATATTTTTATAACATCAACATTGTCAAATTACTGGCTTTAAGGACACTTCTGAATTAGAACTTCTACTGGAAAAAATGTGGTATAATTTTGCCAAGTACTGGAAGTCATTAAATCCAGTAACTTTTAAATTATGCCAGACATGACAGGATTTTAAACTTAGAAGCTACAACTGTATAAAAAAAACCAACTCTATTTCTGGAAGTTATCATGTCTTATTAGTAGATGCATTATTTTAGAACACCAATGGAATTATTTTGAAAACTAGATTTTGAGACCTGTTTTCCCTTACTACCACATCTATATTTTCTATATCTGTCTACATAGAGTGTAGCCATCTTTCTGCTCAGGCCCTCAGACCTGCAGTCAATTCTCTCTGATGCCTGGTTCCACTTTGCATTGTAAGTCTGATGTGCACATATATATTTTATACTCTGTATAAAATGCTTCTGTATCTCATGGTCACAGGGAATGTGCTGCTGTAGCAAATGCTCATCTTTTTCTCTAGATTATCAGATTTAGAGGGATGGATGTAATCTTACCTGCAGCTTTTCTGTAACAGCTGTTTGGGGGAGAATAGTTCACTGAAAGTCAGCTTTAATAAATATAATCCTTATATATTGATATACTTACACCACCTGTACTGATCTATTTTATTGTTAAAAAATAGTGGCAGTATTCATGGGGAGAATACAAAGCAGAATGCAATTACAAACTAAGCATAAAGAGTGAAGAAGTCTTGTTTTCATATTTTTCCACTGTGTTGTTAGTTTTGTGCTAGTAATTTCTCTTTTACATATATGTGTTTGTTTTTTAACAGTTTTATACAAGCTTTGCTTGTGATCTTCTCTGTCTTTTTGTACTTGTTTTCCTACAAAGAACACCTCGTGTGTCTTGTTTTGGCAATGGCCCTTGGATGGGCCAATATGCTCTATTTCACCAGAGGTTTCCAGTCCATGGGCATTTACAGTGTGATGATTCAAAAGGCAAGTTTTTCTTTTGTTTTACCTCCTTTATAATCCTCACTTGTTCTACAATCCATATTAAGTACATTCAGCAATTTAGGTGTATTTTATAGTTCATATTGAAATATCTTATTTTCAATTTATGCATATTATTTCAGCAGGGCACACTAGATAACTTCAGTGGCAGAATCTAGTTTATATCTTCAAATAGACATTTTATTATGTTTAATTATTATACTGAATATAATTTTGGGTTTTTTCAGCTAATGTAGTTCTGCAATTTAATTGCATCACATGCTGTAATGTCTGTGTTGTACAGAATTAGTCACCCTCACTCAACACATCAGGCTCTCAAGCATGAGATAACAAATCAAACCTTTGTGCTTCTCGCTGAGACTAAACCAGTTTACTCAATGAAAGCAGTCTGATACTTTTCTATGTGCCTCACCTGTATCCCTGCAGAATTCATAAACATAAAACTAGTCCTCAATTTTAATTTCTGACAACTCTTTCATTTAATTTCTAGGTCATCCTGCAAGATGTGATAAAATTCTTAGTTGTCTATATCGTGTTTTTGCTGGGATTTGGCGTAGGTAAATATTACTGGAGAAAAGCACTGATGCTCTGTGTGAGTAAAAATTTTAGCATTGTTATTCATAAGAACCCTGTTTTCATGATGAGAGCTCATGTTGGGGTTTCTTCTGGATATTAAGTTTAGATGTGGACAGATGAGTCATCTGGCTCTTAATTGCCTGCAATTCCATTTGGACGTGGGCTCTTTCTGCTTCCTGGAAATCCTCATCTGGCTGCTGTGTGTTGCTGGGCAGCTCTGGCTCTCTTTCCCAGTGTACTGTGAATTCTTTAGGATAAAATGCCACGTATTTCTGAGGCATGACTGTGATTGAAATTTCCTCCTGCCTTCTCCTCAGCTCTTGCTGCCTTGATTGAGACCTGCCACGAGGGCGGTGAATGCCATTCCAACAGCAGCCTGGGACCTGTGCTGATGGATCTCTTCAAGCTCACCCTGGGACTGGGGGATCTGGAGATCCAGCAAAACTCCAAGTATCCTGTCCTGTTTCTTCTGCTCCTCATAACTTTTGTTGTGTTGACTTTTGTTCTCCTCTTGAACATGCTGATTGCCTTGATGGGAGAAACAGTGGAGGATATTTCTAAAGAGAGCGAGCACATCTGGAAACTCCAGGTTTGTTTGGGAGTTTGTTTTGTGAAGTTTGTTTAGCCCAATTTTAGCTGCTTGGGCTAAAATCTCTTGAGCTGTGTCTATGGTAACTCATACTGACACAACAGGTTAGGCACTAATGATAATCCCCATTTGTATATGTGAGTGAATAATGGAAATAACTAATTTCAGTGTCAGAGAATTGTAATAACCTCAGATTTAACAACATCTAAAAGTAATATTGTGGCTTGGATTTCCAACCCATGCACTGTCACATACCTTCATGACTTTTGCTCTCCTGGATTTGGTGTTTCACCATCACCAGGAATCTGTGAATCCCTATTTTCCCACACAAACAATCAGTGATGTGCCACGTTATTTGGTGTTGCTTGTGGGTGGTGGGATGGAGGCTTGACATGTTATAATGAAGCTGCAAACGGCATATGCTGTGGAATCAGACAATATTGGACATGGTTAACCATACTCATTTATTGTTGATAGAGAGCCAGAACTATTTTGGAATTTGAAAAATTCTTGCCAAAATGTTTGAGGAAAAAATTCCAGCTGGGGGAACGGTGTAAAGTGGCTGAAAACGACACCAGGGTGTGTTTAAGGTAAAGCAAAGCTAGATTACTGTGCTATCAATTCTGCCTTGTAGGCTGCTTCAAGGTTACTTCTCCTCTTTAAAATATTTCTAGCATCTCTACAAATTATACTGGGTGTACAAAAATATAATTTGGGGTGTTTTTTTTCAGTTGTGACCAATTGTTTTGAAAAAAGGGAAGGTGTAGATAATTTTTTGGTAAGAAAACAGATTTTCACCTTCATATATGTCTTTACTGTGCAAATATCAAGTCTGCTTGCAGTAAATGTTACTTTGTCATAATCTCCTTTGAATGTTAGCTTAAAAGTAATTATATTTAAATTGATTGCTATTTGGTGATTACCATATTAAAGAACGGTGCTGTTTTATCAAAAACACTGAAGGTGTGTTTCAAGCTGTACTCACAATGTGTTAAATTATAAAGCAGTCTTGGTATCATTCTCCCCTTCCTGTGGTACCTAACACTGCAAGGGACAGTCAGCCTTTTAGTCCCAGGAAAGCAGGTGTAGGTGGTAAAGTGTGACAATCCCAAGAAAGAATAAAAAGGAATGAGCAGCAATGTAGCTGGGAGATAATGCATGATAATAACACAACTTATATCCAATATAAACAGGATTAATGAAGTGAAATGGACCGAGTGGAAAACACATGTTTCATTTATTAATGAAGATCCAGGGCCAACAGGTACTGTGGGGTTTTATGACACTGTATTTTTGAAAGCTTTTCTTATAAATGCTTGGATATAGTTTTATACCTTTAAAACCATAAAATCACATAATCTAGATGTTCAGCCACACTTTACTGCTGCAAAAAACGATAGTTTACATGGTAGGGGTGTTAAAGTATTTTAAAAGATTTGGAGTGAGGGTTGGTTACAAACATGTAATGATTTGTGATAGGTGTTGGATGACAAATTGCCCCTCACAAATGTTGACCAGGAAATCCAAGAGACTCCTCTGCTGCCAGTGCTGGAGTGCTGTGGAGAAATGAGCTCAGCCTGAGGTGTCCAATGTCCCTCTGGCAGCAGGAGTCAGGACACAACAGGGGCATGTGAGGATCTGGGAGACAGACTTGTTCTGAAGTTTCTTCTTGAGCCAATTAGCTTTTATATTGCTTAAAGAATGAGCTCAGTAATAAGGAAAGGGGGCAGCCAGAACAATTTGTGTAAGATATGGTAGTAAACTGACAACTTGCTGTTTAAATAAATGCATATTTTTAACAACAAAAAAAAAAAGATGTACAAAACTTTGATCTTGCAAACACAGTTTCTACCATATCCTGTTTTGTTTACAATGCATTTTTTTGCAGATCCAAGCAAAATTCAAGATAATTCAAGAACTAATAGCAAAAACACCTTGAATACGTTTGAAGAAATGGATGATTTGCCTGAAACTGCCGTTTAGAGCTTGTGCTGTATTTGATATGTGGCTGTTCTGAAGGTTAAAAAGCATCAGCAGTGGATGCTGAAAGCTTTGTGGATGTTTTGGACAGCTGTAACCAGCTGAAACACGAACTTTCAGTGACACAGTCTGATGGCTTGAACCCATTTAATCAGGGCAGCTGAGCTGAAATAAAATGGACTATTCACTGGTTCAGTTTTGAGCCTCTCAAACCATTGCTGTCCAAGTTTGTGTGATGCTACTCAAACTTGGCTCTAGATGTTTAACTGGATAAAAAAGGTCAAATGTGAGATATTTCTTCCTTTTGTGGAAAATTAAGTTCATCGTGATCCCAATCTGCTGGTTTTTTGGAATCTCTAACTCATGAGAAACTCATTTTGTACTCTGAACAAAGTTAAGTTCTTGACACGGAGCAAAGAAAAGCATTTCAGTTCTGAAGACGACTAAATGAAGTATGTTATTTTGAAATAACCAAGCTCTGGATGCATTTGCAGCTTTTGCATTGACTGTCAGTGTTATTGGAGGCTCAGTCCCACAAGCTGGAGAAGCCTCTTCAGGTCCCAGTAGCTTTGCCTGATCTGTTTTCCTCTGTGCAGTCCCCAGGGTATAATGTGCTGTTTACTGCTCTTTATTTATTAGTAAGTGTTTGTGTCTCCCCATAAAATAATAGGGCAGAAATATCACTCATGATGGAGGATGTTTCTGACTTTGTCCCACTCATGATGTCTTTACTTTTCCTCCTTGGCTTTTCCATGCTGTTGCATCTTGCTACATAAAATAAGTTATTGCCTTGGAAGTTCTTCTGAATTCATTTCTGCATTCAACCACTTCAGGAAAATAAGTCAGTATTTCTTCCCAAAATGAACAGAATAAGTTCAGTGCAATGCAATTGCAGACTTGTTTTTATTCAGAGAACTATGTAATGCATTTCTGTGGCACTTTTTATTTCACCACCTGTGATGACCTAGTACTATGAATTATATTTTTAGTTTTCTATTTCATGTGTAAACATAAAAAAGAAATATTTGTTCTATGTACTTTTAAATTTCAATTGATACATGATGTGTATTCAGTGTCATGGCTTTTCATCAGACCTGTTCACGTGGTGCCTGTTTTAAAGGTGCTGTTTTAGGCAAGGCTCGGGGGAACTCAGTTCTGTGTTTGAATGATAATAAGAATTGCATTGGATTTTACAGCCAAGCCTGCTGTGGGCAAAATGATCCCAAGGACTTTCTTACCCCAGAAGAGAGCGTGAGGGAAGGACAGCACAGAGCTGTTTGCAGGGATTGGGAACGTGGCTCTCGCTGCCCAACCAGCCTCCTACAGATGCTGAATCCTGTGTTTCCTACCACGGATGGATGGGATCCAGTGGAAACCTTCAGTTGTGTTTGTACAGGGCAGAGGAATTTGAGGGGAAGGACCTTCCCAGACCATATAATACCTGAGCATTGTTTGCCTTCCTTAGTAGGAAATGGGAGTATGAGAAGAAAAATTCCTGTGGTCTTGGAATCTTTCATCTTTGCTGGTTAATTTTGCATCGAAACTGCCAACGAAGGATTTTGCCTTAGGACTCCACAGTTCTGTTTGGATCCTTTTCAGTGCCAGTTCTTGTACAAAGGGAAAAAAAATATACCTCTTCACACATCCTCAGGAGCCAGAGAGACCCATGTTTCTGTGGGTTGTCACTGAACACAGGCTGAGAGGATGTGCTGTGCCAGTGTCCAGGTACAAAACCGAATGGACAAACTGAGGAAGGAGCTGAGGGGCTGTTTCTAAAAGTTCTTACTGAGGAAATTCCCTCCTTGTGTGACCCCAGAGCTCTGGCAGATCACACAGACTGGCTCCTGTCTCGAGGCTCTCACCAAGGACACTGTGAATGATGACTGGAGCAGGTGATTCTGTGCTTTTTATACAAAAATGTTTATTTAAATTAAAGAAATAAAACTTGTAACTCAATAAACCTTCTGTCCTCTGTTTTTATTTGATTGCCATAGGAGTTACACAAAGACAAGGAAGAAATACTTTAAATTTAGTAGTAAATAAGGAAGACATCACTTTTCAAAAGGTATAATGTGGGAGTTATCTGGACAATTAGTCTTTTGGTTAATAGTTAGAGTATCCTTATGAAAGTTCTTAATGTTTATCACTAAATTGTCAAATATGTTAAAAACAACTTAAGAAAATAAATTAAACCCCCATTTTCTTCTCTTTCTCAGTTCCTATGACAGACTTTCTCTCTGCAGATACAGAACCAGTCTCGAAATTCTGAGAAGTCTCCCCACATGGAATCCTCACAAATTTCCACTCTGAAATACTCAGGTATGGTTTGTGCATTGCTCTTCATCAAAACCCAAGTAATGGCTTAAATTTTGCCTTTTTCTCTGAAAACTTTTGGGGTACAACAGTTGATGGAAGTTTTGTTTGGAAAATGTTATAAGCAGTAGGTGGATACATCTAGGAAGTGAAATGACTGTAAACTTCTGGTTTTTTCCATTGCAATAGAAATTTTCTTCTAAAGGTTCACTGGTTAAGCACATCTTTTCTTTCTGAATTTCAGTATTGCTCCAGTATGTTTCCAGCTACTCAGTATTTCCTGAAGTCAACCCTTTCTGTCTTTGAATCAATGTTCAATCAGAAAGAGCTTGAATAAATCTTGTAATACTTGGAAAAGCTTTACACTTCATTTTAGTGTATTTTTCTCAGGAATCCTGTATTTTTAGCTTATTTTTATCTTTGTAAGTATAAAAAGAAAAACAAAACAAACCCCAAGGCCTCCACTTCAGCACAGTGGGAATTAGTCACATATGCAGATAATATCATTTATTATATACCTTTGTTTCTCTCTCCTCAGCTTTTCCTTTGTCTCACATTTTGTAAGTTTATCTGAGGAATTAGTTTCAAGGATCTTACCCCATTTTAAAAAGTGTTGGTTATTGGAGGTTTGGGGTTATAAAATAGAAAAACTGTAGGTTTTTTATATATAATGTAGTTTTGTGGATAAGCATCTTCATAAAAACTTCATAAAATATTCTTTACATCTCTAGGAATCCTTTAGAACAAGTAAACAGGAGTCATAATCAGCATTCTGACAGTATGTCTCGTCTTAAAAGTGCTCAGCAAGGTTAATTAAATTACAATTTAAAATTAGATTCTGCATTTACCTATTTATTCCATGAATTACTGCTGATTGACCCTGGATTTCACAAAGAAACACACTTTTTTACGGAAAATCCATAATAAACTCTTAAGAAGTGCTCTGGTTTGAGACTGAGGACCTGAGGTGTTTTGCATTGAGTTTAATTTTCTCTGTTTTTACAAAAGCTTGTTTCTTTTCATAATATGCAGCTTCATTAATAAATGTTGGATAGACTGTGCAGTTCCCTTGATAGGGAATTACTTTTCCATCAAGAGTCAAAAATAGAGGATCACCGTTGTTCAGTGGCTGCCAGTCTTGATCCTTAGGGAAAGAAAATAAACAGGATATATTTACTTTCAAGTTTTTATATATTCTGTAATTCCTGAGCTTATGGTCAACAATTATAATTTCTGCAGTTTATGACAAAAGCTTTTAGAAGAATTCCTTTTAATCTGCAGCTGGTAATTTTGGATGTCTGGCCCTCATTTTCAGGCTGGTAGAGGTGAACTAGAAGGAAACTGCAGATGCTCACAATTGATTAAATATATTCTCAAAAATTTCAGAATTCAAAATTAGATTTATATTTTAAAATATAAGCTATCATATTGTCTTTTTCTTTTCAGTTTTAGGTTCATAACTTATTTTAGATTCAGTGATTCCCAAGTCAGTCCCTGAAATAGTGATGACCTTAGTGAACCATAGGGAATGTCTGCAGTATTCAATGAACCCATTGGGAATATTGGCATTTTAAATATTTATTACTAAAATACACAACAATGTAGCAGGAGCAACACAAGAATACATAGAAAATGTCAGAAATAGAAACTATTCCAGCATTTACCTGCAGTTTAGGGTGAATAATAGCAATAATTTCATCATTCTTATTCCTGGGATAATCTACTTTCTCCATTATTTTAAAAACCTCGATTGTACACGGTGGAAATTCTTTTCCTAGAAAGAATAAATGTAATTTAATGTCAAAATGAACAACTGCCTGTTAAAAAGAACAATACATTATTTATTTTCTTTAGAATGGCTCAAACCATTGGGTTGTTCCCTCAAAGTGAGTTGCAAAATGATGATCCAGTCACATATTGTAGCATATGAAGCCCAGGCTTAAATTTGCTGCTGAAATGTGACTTTTCCCTGTATAGTTAAAAAGATCTATTTTGTAGACGAAGAAATCAATGAAAGGCCTGTGTTTGGTAATGCTGCACAGCACAGAATGGTATCAGTGGTATTTAATCTTTACCATTCCAGCACAATAATGGAAATTCTGACATGCAAAACTGCATTATTTTCCTTCTACTTCCAAAAAAAAAAAAAAACCAACCAAACCCCACTGATAAAATGTACTCTGAAAGAATTTTAAATACCTATTTTTGTCAGGATGTATTTTAGATAGTACCCTGGTCTAACCAAATCTTACCAAATGTATTGACTTTCATTTTAGAGAGCAATTCTCTCCCCACCCCTTTGTACCTGTTTAAGGGTGAAAATGTTGTAGCCCAGCCTATTTTAAATATTCTCTTAAAACAGCCCACTGACATGACACAGGAGGTTGTAATCTCTCATTACCTTCATTAAAAAGCTGCACAAAATCAAGGCCATGTTTGACAATCTTCCTCATTTTGTCCAAAATATCAGCTCTAGCAACACCTTGTGGCTGGGGCCCCACCTCGACTCCTGTTTGCAGATGAGGGAGATTATTAATGTTGCAATAACATAACACAGGCTTACACTGCACAGCAAAAATAGGTGTCTGATGGGTCAGTGTTTAATGTTTTTAAGCAGAATTGTAAAGCACAGTTCTGTGAGACTTAAGGCAACAGATAATTTAGCTCACCAATCTGGGTCAGTTGAAGAATTGTATGTGCATTTTTGAGTGTGCTATGAGGGTAAGAGAAAGAGCCAATATGTATTTGTTTCTCTTATTCTTTTCCTCATACTGTCTATTCATGCTGCATTTTAGAGAATTCATTGTTTAATAGGAAAAGCAAACTAATGATTATTTTTTTGTTATGGTTATGATTCTGTAAATGAAAAAGTTAACTAATTCCATGCAGAACATTGGTTCCCCCTTCCTTTATCACATCATCTCTTCCTGACTAAGTGTTTCAGCCTTATCTAGAGGACATAAACATTGATTTTCTGGTTCTGTTACTTCCTCCTTCTCCTCGTATATTATAAATATTTTCTGCAAAAAGTGAGTTAATTGAGTTTAAGAATTTCCATCTGGCTCCTGCATTTTGCAAGCCAGAACTCTGATTGTGTAAATCAGAACTCTCCAGAAGAATGAATAATCATATAAATCCAATTCAATAAGCATATTGTCAAACAAACAACTACTGGTGATCATAACATAGAGAAATGAACACATCTGGAAACAGCCATGTTTTAAATCATTTATGGTGGCTTAAAATAGTCTTTAGTTTTCATATTTACCGACAGGATGTTTTGCTACAGATCGAGTTGTTGCATATTTCAGGCTGGGATGTTCGATGAGCAGAGCAGGGCAGAGTTCTGGAGCCAAAGCCTTCTGTGGAGAGGGTTTAAAGATGCCTTTGTTATGCAAATGGTTTAAAATGTTGTGCCACAAAAGATTACTGATGCAGAAGTGATTTACACAATGTCTTCAATATGTTGCCTTTATTTCAAGGCCCTCAAGGAAGTAGGACATCTTTAGAAAATGCACAAAGCTGTGTTTGTTGGTCTCAGTTCCATTAACTCGGGCCAGGCAGCTCCACTGAACCACAACTGAGCACAGTTCTGGTCTGAGACTGCCAGCAGAGAAAAATCTCCTCAGCAGGGTTCCAAAACTTAGCATTGAAACACTCTAAAGCAGATTTCAACTTTGTTTTGGTTTTATTTTGTTTTTAAATGCTAGGTTCTGTTATGAGGACACAGACTGTGAATTAAGCCTTATTTCAATCTTCTTTTTTGCCATTTTTGCTGGTTTAGATATCTTTCTTGATGACTGCCCACCACTGCCCTTCATGTAATTTTAGTTTTCTATAGCTCCAAATATCTTAGAAAGATTTACATGGAATACATATCATAAGAAAAAATTTAAATGTTAAAATAGACCTTGTTTC